GTAAAATCGTATTATAGAACCACAGACACAGAGGCCCTTTCTGAATGCGACAAGCCTCATCCAGAAAGATAAATCGCCTATTTCGTTTTTTGCAACCGAAATACAATATAATCGTTATTATACCTGCGTCATAATCTTTTCGTGCAATGCATGTCGCTCAAGTGCCAGGTTCCGAACTACAAAAATGAGCAACCACAGCTGCGACAAACGTGAGCATTTCGATTTGTGCAAATCAAGTAAAAGGGACACTCACATACTAATACATGGAGAATGTTCTCGGTTCACCAAGGTATTCCGAAGCATTTTATCCCCATCACTGTATTGAAGAGCAGACAAACCAGACGTATAACATTTCCGAGAAAAAACTCTAAGGTTTAGAAACCAGGTGTTGTTATGAAATGGGTAAAAACGCAAAAGAAGCATTGCTACTCGAAATTACACGGCGGCTAAAAGCGGTCCATGTCGCGGGGTTACAAGACACATCATGAGTGTGACTAAAACAAGGAGTGTCCAACTTGATTGATAAACCTGAAGCGTGTCATGTTTTTATCACGTGAGACTACCTGCCATCTGCATTGCCCAAGAAACAACGCATGCGCAATGGAATTCAAACAAAAGAGCTCTGCGCAGTATACAAGCACAGCCCTCAGCATTATTCAGGTTAGAATAAATAGATAATGTATTCCCGATCTATCTCAAAGGCCTAGCAAAATACGTTTTCTTGGTCGGTGGTTTGCGTCCTACAAGCAAAAAAATGAAGATTAAAGAAATAAACCACTTGCACTAAATGAAAGAAGGAAACTCGATGATTTTTGAGGGGAATTTTGTCACGCTGCTGTTAGTATTGAACACTAATTCTTGCAATCCTACAATCCAAAAACTCTCTCCTCCCAATGCAATATCAATTGAAAGCTTGGGGACTATACAGGCCGTATTTGCAAACTGAACTCCATTTCCAGAGAAAAGAGATTTCGGTTTACTTATACACAGCTGACAAAAGAGGAAAATGCTAAATAGATACAATTGAGACTCAAGATGCGAATTCAACAAACTGAACTAAGTGATTCATAAGCTTTGTCGTGTTTTAAGAACTTCGAACACATTTGAACAAGAATCTTTAAAAAATTTACACCCGTCGGTAGCGTGAATCAAGGCGGTTTCTCCCTCTTCTGGAAAGACTATTCTTTTCTGTCCGCTGGCATTTTCGAAAGTCTTGGTGAAGGTCTTATTAGGACTGAGAACAAAAACGACTTCTCCCTTATGTCCACTTCTCTAACCTGACCAGCTTAAGCGGAATCAATTCCGTGTTATCGGAGTTGGCTGGGCAACAAAGTGGTAAGAAAACAAGAGGTTACAACTGAAAGCTCGTGGAGAATTTACGTTCTGTCTTGGAGGATGTAGGCTTGTCGAGGTAGGCTTCAGGGTCTTTCAATGGCCGTTTAGTAACGAACGTGCTGCGAGGTATGTGCAAGACTGTTTTTTCATCTGCAATCGGGTAAATAAAATTGTTGATAATAAATCATAATTCGGCTTGGACAACCAAGGCAGTGTATGGCTTTTTTATAGTTAAAATAGTTTGTTTTCTCGCGGACATCAATGATCGTGAATCTGCCTGACTAGACGAAATGTTACTCAGATATTATTTGTCTGACACTTCTTCACTGTAGTCCAACGAGAAAATTTCGCCAAAGCTAATTAAAGCAAAATACTTCATGCGAGGTTGGTACTTTATTGTTTAAAGTCTAATATATTAAAAATGTGCTGTTCTACTCATTTGTTCACTTATTTGTCGAATTTTTTTTCATCTGGCTCTGCGAAGCGTTTTCGACGAAGAAGAAGCTCATAACTTTGGAAAAAGTGCAAATAGTTAACTGATGATTTTATATATCCTTGTTCATGTTTCCACTTCGTGAAAGCTCATCAAATAAAACAAGGAACGCCGAAGACGTTTGCACTGAATTGATTGCAGTGGAACGCGCTTTAGTACTAACAGTAGCATTTTAAATATACGCACTATCAACTATCAAATATTAAAATAATACTCTCTGATTCCCAGGGATGAAGTTCAAATTCGCACACCTTTTTCACCAACCAGCACATTAATCAACTAAATGAAAAAACTTGAAATAATTTCCAGTTAAATGCTAACAATTTGGCGGCAAATTTACCTTTCTTAATACCAAGATGGAAAGGTTGATTTAAGGCTTCAAACCTTCTTTGTTAATGTCGAGACTGATAATCTATTGAAGCCTCCGAGCAAGTTTGCTCAAGAATTGTCCAGGTCCACAAGAGTCAAATGCTTCGGTTCATCTTCAAACAAAGTAACTCCGTAAAGCGAATCCTACAACAACCACAACTAAGCTGTTTGCGCGATATACTGTGCAGAAGGCTTGTGTCAAATCACAGACAACTGGCCCTTCCATCGTACTGAGCAAAAATTATGACAGCTTCCTAATATGAGCCATGAAGGGAAAACTAATTTTGGATAAGGACTGTTCACAGTAACAGTATGATAACTCTTTTGCTTTCAAAGTGAACGATGCAAGGATTTCATGTGGTGTAAATCAGTGTCCAAATGAAACTTCTCCAGTAATACATTCACAATGCTATTTCTTTTTTCAGCATTTTTACAAATTTGCTTTGAAAATTTTTGTCAAATTTTTACGTTGGCCAGGGTAAGAAGACTTTGAATAATTTATGACATCTGCTACACAAACAAAGGAAGCCTTCTTGCCTGAAAAGGTTATTCTTGTTTGCTGCTTTGATCATGTTCAGTTACGTTTCAGTTCAATCATGCATGCTAGCTACTAAAAAATAGGATTGTATTTCACCGATGCTTTGTCATAATAAACCTAAACAGAACCATACAGAATCATTGTGAGCTGAGTGATGCAAAAGCCCAAACAGCAAACATCGTTCAGTCTAGCTAAGTGAGAGAATTATATCTTGTTATACCTTATGGTCAAGTATTTGTGGTAAGAGGACTGACCAGAACTGAACCTAAGAAGTGTCAACATTCAAATAAAATGGCAAGAGCGTATAATCATACAATTGTCAACCTTTGTTTTTCCCTTTGCTTTCTTTGCCATAAATACGTTGGGTGCAAGTTAAATTGCCTGTTGAATTCAGTTAGGCAGAATTTGCTAAGAAACTTGAAATGCAAATATCAGCCCAATCAGTTTAAGACTGCAATTATAACTGAGAAGTTATCTTCTGTTGATTAAGCGTGCATGCTTTTTTGTTCTAATTGGCCCTCTGTAAGTCTTCAATGAAGTATTTCGGGCAGTACAAACCGCGCTATCGTATAGAAACGGGTAAAATACAGATCTCAATGATTACGAGTATTAAGTTATGTCTGCATGATGAAGTCGGAAGTCATGCAAATCAAGTAGAGCCAAAGCTCGGCATAGAGAAATATTTCTTTGAAACCCCTGTTTTCCCATACAATAGGCCGGACCTATCCTTCTTGGTGTCTGGATATTAAATGAAACATGCCTCCCTGAGAAACAACTTTCAGCAGTAACTTGAAGGAGAGAAACTGCCTTCCACTTCGCTGGGATTCATGCACTATGAAAATAATTGTTCTACGCGAATGTTAAATTTAATCTGTTTAGAACAAAAACCCTTCCATCTAAAACCAGAATATAGCATATTTCAATTAGAAAGCAAGATAATTAAGAGGAAGGAATGATTTTCAGTCCCTAATAAAATAGAATATACTAAGACAGTCGGAGACAAAATTTATATTCTGTGGCCAGGAACACTAGTTCATCTGGTAAAGCTACATGTTTTTACAAAAATACGGCTATAAGTTCACGGTCTCCATAAAAATGCAAACAGAAGAGACTCTTTTCCGGTATTGTCGCTCTTCGCTCTTGTTAAGAAACAACAAAACTAACACTGCATGTATCTTTAACATCATTAACAATCGTTGATAAACACAAGAAACAACCATACCCAAAGAGAAACAGAAATTTTGCCGCTAAAGACAAAGCCTTTAACGTCTGCAGTAGACTGGCTCCTAAGTTTGATCATGCAAGCAGATCTCTTGCCTGTGTTATTTAGAAAGCGTAGCGTGGTAATACTTATTTAAGCTGAGGCTTCAAGGTGGGGGTGGGGGGGGGGGGGGGGGGGGGGGGGCAGGCACTCAAGGGAAGTTTGGGTAGAAGTGTGCCGCCGAGGCCCTCAAACCCTGACGGTATTGAAGGGCAACAGGCTTCCGGTCCAAAGACACGCTTTTTCTAAGACGGTAAACAGTGAAATTGTGTACCTCCCTGAAACCCATACCCTGTTCAGCCGCACATACCCGTCTAAAATAAGGGAGTACCTCCCCCCTCGAGGGGACGGAGGCCGGGGGGGGGGGTTGCTGAGACCTCCGTCTGCTGAGACAAGTCAACCAGAAAGGTCAATCGTGTATTCTAGTCTAAATTACTGTCATGTTTGAATCTTGAATCATGATCCTTCACTTTAAAACAAGTTTCAGCTTCCGCTCACTGTGCAACAAATGCTAGGTTCCAGCTTTCGAGTAAAATGAAAACAGATTACTAACTGACATGAACTTAACGCTCCACAAACGTGAACATTTCGCGTTGTGCAAATCAATTTGAATCGACACTTACGTGAAGTATGTTAAAATCCCCCAAGGTATGAGGAGAATTGTATAACTTTTCACGAAGAGCAGGAGTGAAATTTCGGATCATCGGAACTGAACTCTTTGGTTTCCGAGATCACAGAAGTTCTTGTTGCAGAAATCGAGTTTTTTTATACTTGAAACACACATACATAGTACAGCAGTCTATTAAAAGTGGTCATCAACGTCATCAGTAGGGAGGTAGGATAACCATTCCTTCTTCCAATAAATTCAGTGATTAGAGAGATTGCCGACAAAAATGAAACATAGTAAGTGTTATGACTGAGTCTTTCTATCACGTGCCTTTGGAAATGGGCTCCTGTCATACTTGTCACGGGCCATAACCTGCCTTTAAAAGGTTTGACAAACAATGCATGAGCATAAAAAATCAATCGGACGGGCTTTGCTTTCTACGTATGCAAGAAAAGGCTTCCAGGATTATTCACAGGTTTGAGTTATAAAAATTTCTCCTATTTCTGTTTTATACTCTACGTCTGGGACTTTCGAACTTTTTCTCCTGATACTTTTATCTCGCAAGCAAAAAAATTAAATAGAGGAACCAAAAAGGCACTGAAAAATGAGGGAAATAATAATTTGTTTTTCTTTTGTGTAATTTTTCATGCTGCAGTTTTGCAAAGTAGAACTCCTAAGTAAGCTCTAAAACAAACTGCACCGGGAAGCTAAGTTCGATTTTCAGGCAAGGTTGGGCTTGCAACCACGTACATGGCACCTTAACGAGGAAAACCAATTTAAAATATTTTAGAACTAACACGAACACGAAAAACAGGTCAGTAAGATTCTTAAGTTGTTGCGCAAGAACTTTGAACGCGTTGTAATTGATTAAGCGTGTAAAATGCACTGAGTATGAACTGATTCAAAACATTCGATAGCTAGCGGCTTTTAATAGAAATGATAATTGAAGCAAGCAAACATTTTTTATGATTGAGCCTAGAGTCTGATATAAAACCTGACATTCGAATGCAGGCACTCTCGACAAAAGTGCGAGGGAATTAACGTTTAAGATGGTATTTCTTCGAAATATCCTTACTTTGTTAATTTCAGTACAACGGGTAAAAACTATTTCTTTTTAAATAACATAGGTTGTTTTATCTTCGAAGCATTCCAAAGGAAAAACTTAAGCCTTCGTAAATTATTGTTTACTGCTCGACTGGCTAACCGCTCCCTGATTATTTCTTTGTCCATAATACGACATTTATTTATCACCTAAATTATTAATTTTTTGCTACAGCTTTGTTAGTATGCAACACCTGATCTATTGATATGGCAATTCAAAAATATGCAGTCTAATAAGGACTGGTTATCAAACGCTCATTGACTAAACTTATCGCCGTCTTGAAAACAATGAGGATTTCGAGTTAGGATACTAACTACTTTCTTCTATTTTAACGTATACATATCAACCAGTTTTAGCGCGGTCAGTTTCCACGTTGTCAGAGCCGATTAAGCCTCAAGGTAATGGTAAAAAAGAGGAGTTATTGATATTTGTTGAATGCAAGGACAAGCTTTGGCCGTCACCTGGTATATTTGAACAATTCACTGTAATCGAGAGTGCAATGGCTGCATGGGCGGACTGTCCATGTCCACCGCTGTTGCGATGAACGAATCGTTCTTTTGCAAGCAGTTGAGGCAAATAAATTCGTTTAGAATCGATCTTTATTTCTAGAAGAAACTCAGTAGAGGCGCTGTTTCTTAGATTTCGTAACAATGTATGTATATGGATGGAACCTCGTTAGATCACTCACTAGTGTACGATCTGTGATCCCTGTTAACATCGATGTAGAGGTTTGTATGTCGTTTGACAAAAATCAAGCGCTGTACCTTAGAGTAGGATTTTAAGCTAGCCCGTTGTTAGGAAAAGCGCTCAAAAATCGAATAAGTATATGTCCTTTTTATACCGTGTAAATTCGGATGTGTAAATCGCGGTCTGATAAAGACAAGTGACCAAGCACCTTATAATTTTGTCGATTGTTAATTTGAAATGCTATCGTCTTTGTACGTAAACATTTTTTTTTGGACGTAAACTTGTCAACAAAGAAGCAAGAAAATCGGGATGGTACTAACTACGAGTAAAGCTACACGACCAGTTTTTCAATCTAGCCAGGAAACTGTGATATTTTACAATATTAAGCCATTATGACAATGCTCTTAAACTTCGTTGCGATTATCCACTTTTCGAGACATGGCGCTTTCTTCATGTAGCTGTGGAAGGCTAGTTTTAGAACAGTCGAATGCATCGGCTTTTTGTGTTGACTAGCTAGGGTATAATCAGAGCCTAGCTCTACACAATGCATGACTTATAAGCGATGTTTTACTGTATTGAGAAATGTACTAGGTTTCTTAGACCTCTCCTAATCACTGACTTCGAATCATTCCTGACTCGCCAAACGATCCAACAATGTTATGAGAAGACAAACCCTTTTCTTATGGGCAGTATTGTAAAGAAAATCCATGAAATCTCCGCTGACTTTCTACCTAAATATTCCTTAAGTGTGACAGATTTTGCTTCTTTTAAAACCAAGCGGTAAATGTTTTGGCTCAAAACCTAACTTGGCTTGATAATCTGTCGCGGTTTTCTGGCTAGGACTATTTCCCAAACATGGCCGAGGCCGCCGAAGGACACTGCAAACGAAATGACTTGATACAGTCTTAAGATTGATATTTACTCCTTAAAGCAAAATAGAACCAAAAATAAGTTAACCTTTAATTGCAGTCTTACAAATGTAACAGCGGCCTAGTTGTTTGTCTCTCATTGCTGCCAAATTGTCACAGACGCGATTTGGTACAATGTTTGGCCTACAGTTACTCAATAAGTTTAGTCAAATGGTTGTATAAGTGAAATCAAGATGAATGCCTCGAAAATTACTGCTATCACTCAACCCGGGATCCACCATAAATAATCGTGTCCCAGAATCAAGAAGTAGTAACTTGAGTAATTCGAGATACAACTCATCTCCGTAATACAGTTTCACAGACCCTCCGATGACAAACAGTTACGAAAACTAGGATTTATCTCAGTAGAGAAATAAAAGGATGGTACCTCACGACCAACACTGGATGAAACTTCTTAAAACCAGATGTGTAAGTCTGAATAAAAAAAAGAAAAAGACAACAGTTCAGTTCTTGCGCTGAACGCATGCCGAAAAATTATATAACAGAGATAGGTCACAGGGCAAAGCTTCCCCACGTGCAGTACCAGTTAGGTCTATACGTCTAGTGCCTGGGTCTAGTGTGGAGACAACTGCAGCTCCCTTAACCCTCAGACGTGCAATGTACACGCAAAGTCATACCCTCACCGTCGTACAAGGGGGGGGGGGTTGATGGACCCCCCTCGTTTTTGATATGTTGCAGTATATGTTGCAGTTCTTCAACAGAACTTTCACATGGTACTATCAATTTTGTTTGTAGATCTTACTTTTAAGTCTTTGGATGAAATCCCAGGCCGGTGTAACCATCCAAACGCTTAACAAAATGAAATTTAGAAATTTCGATGAATTTTGATTTAGGCCACTTTTTGAACGTGACAGGAATAAATACCATTTATTTGATTCTCAATTACATCAATCTCTTTCGTGAGAAAATTAAATGAAACTAAACGCGGGATAAAACCTATATAAGCCGTGTCCATTTTACTTGTTTATAAGTGTTTGCTCGAAGGCTTTACGAGTAACCCCGGTATGACCAATCGATAAAAACCGATATCGGAAAACCGTTCGATAAATCGATATCAATCGATAATTTTTAATTAATCGATATCGATTTTATCGATCAATCGATAGAAATCGATACTCACAGTCTTCCGCGTATTTAACGATATCGATTTTATCGAGTAATCGATGTTAACGGAGTATCAAAAACCATACAAAATAAAACTGCTTCTATGTGGACAGCGTTTTAATTTAATATAAAACAATGAACAGAAACATTAAGCAACCAAGGATTTATTTCATTCAGTCAACACATTAACTTCATTCTTTGTTTTTTCTTTTGTTTCTTTGGTTCTGGAACCATGTTTTAACCTAAAAGGAAAAAAAAAAAGAAACCAAATTTATATGTTTATTGCATGCAACCGTATCCCGGTTAATCATTTTGACTCTTATATTCCCGGTATATTCTCGCAAGGTCTCTCGATGATTTTACTTTATATCTCCAGGAAAAAGCTATCTTAAATTCACTTACTTGGTGTTGCTCTAAGTCAAAGTTCTCGGCCAACTTTTCCATTCTTTCAAATTTATATCAGTTATTTTTGTTTCATTACCTCTCTTCTGCTTTAGTTGCGGAGTTCATCATTTACTTCGTTTTACTTATTTATAGAATGATTTTAGCTCTGATTTGTAGTATGATTTTTGCGGCGGCGAGGGTTTTGCTGACAAAACATTTACTGGAGACAATGTCTAGCATTACAACTACGCAGCTTCGTACTTCGTAGTACATGTATTTGTAGGATGTCATTACGACATTTAGCTTGAACAGTTTCTGAGTAAATACAAAAAGCGGTTATGTTATGTTGCGTTTCCCCGTTGAATCATGCCAGGGAATCGTGTTAATATTATTTGATTATCAGTATTCATTCAATTATCGATTTGTTAAATAAATCTTTAAATTCGTCCTACTTGATTCATTGAATCGTAAGAGTGTTTTTATGGAAGATTTGATACATTTTAGAAATTCGATAAAATCGATAACATTAATTTAAAATTCGATAATTATCGATTACTCACAACGTGTCCTTTTATCGATTTTAATCGATTTCCGATACAATTTACTAATTTTTATCGATTGTTATCGAATGTTATCGATTATCGGTTTTATCGATTGCACATGCCGGGGAGTAACACAAGAATTAGCGAAAGAAACGGGACACCGAAATATTATGGTATTTTGCACTCTCGTTTTGGCTTACACCGTCTTGGTTTGCTCTCACCGGACACAATGACGCAAGCACTTTAACAAACACTGGCGAAATTGAAGTGAATTCCATTCTCTTTAAGATTCTATCTAGAAACGTTTCTCATGGAAGCCGGGGGAGGAGGTTTAAACGTTGCTCGAACTATTGAAACTGTTTTACAATCAAGCACTTTCACCCCAACTTACCTTTACATAATACACATTGATTCCAGAAATTTTGTCTACATATGATCTCCAATAGTAAATATCTCGGTTTCAACTCAACAATTTAAATGTACAAAAAAAATACTGTCTTATTGGGTCAAGGCCTTTCAACCCCCCCCCCACTACCCTGGATCGGTCAATGCTCTTCTGCCTGCCTTTGCTTCTGTCCTGCGATCACGCAAGTAAAACCCCAAAATAACTGGGCGCAATTCTCACAAAGCCCTTTTTCCCCAGCTCGTCGAGTTTATATTTTTACATAAATTTTGGTGCCATCGTTTATATCCTTGCGTAGACGAATAAATGGTAAGATCAATTAAATGGTAAATTCACCTAAAGTCATAACTGCTAGAGTATTGCCTGTAGAGTAGGCACTCGAGCGAAACAAAACAACTAGTTCATACCTGAAACCGAAGGCCTTTAGAAATTGAGTGAACTGATAATTCCTCTGGTTTACAGGACGTGAACCATTCAAATGTGCGTTTATGAAATGCGTCATAAGCCTAAACAGGAGGCTATGCCTGACAATCCTTGACACAACCAAGAAACCAAGCTAGTTTTCAAGGTTTCTTTCAAACCAGTGTCATACACCGCTTTTTGCCTTAATGGTGACTGTCCTTACGCCACTAAATCAATCCCAGCAAAGTTGAAATTTCGGCATTTCAGTCTCAGATAAAGTCGTTTTACGTACATAATGCGCACTACTGGGTGACAAACAATGGTGACTCACATTACTAGGCGCATCTTGTTTCACAGGCTTAACCGAAAATTACCAGTGAAGTGTGGAAAAATCATTTTGACGTGCATGTCATTTTACGTGTCAGCTTAAGAAACGGACTGGTATGGACTGGTAAAAGGAGGACCCTTAAAACATGGACTATAGTCAAATTCGAACTTTTTAAAACGAACTAGGTAACCTTTGGAATACGGAATTCTGGAAGCGAAGAAACACATTTCCTAACAACCAGTTTTTTGGACTTGATTAAGCTTCATTTTGGTTTTTGAGGCATGCACATAAGCCAAAATTTGGAGAGAACTGAGTTTTTGTTTGTGAGTTTTTTTGTTCTTATTTCGATCCTTTTTTCTTTCTCTCTTTCTTTCTTTTTCCCTTCTTTTCTATCATTATCTGGTTTTGCTGCCCTCTTTATCGTCTTTCTTTCTCACTGCATTATGGCTGGCTGCTTTTTTTATGAGAATAGATTTTGTAAGAATATCGAGGCTCAAATTTGAGAAATTTAAAGAATATATTTGAAGAATAAACCTAAGGCTGAGATTTTGAAAATGATATAATAGATCATAGTATTTTGTGTTAAAAATCTGAATTACATGTTTTTAACTTAACCGAATAAAATTATTGCTTCCTCTTGACGACAAAACTACCCAACAAGGGGAGATCACTAAAAACTTTGGAAGGATTCAGAGGGGGGACCACTCAAATTTGCTTGGAAAATGAAGACATTAGGGGGGGGTTATCGCGAAAGTCATCAAATGTTATTAGGGGGATCACTTCAGTGAAGTAACATTCAAAGAGGGGATCGGCTAAATTTAACCTTCTTTAGCCCCAAATCCCCCACCCCTCCCCCCCCCCTCCAGGCGATAAATAATGACCGGTCCCTAACCATAGCCATAGTGTTTAATGCTTAAGACAATTCGATGAACGGTACATGAAATATAGTCTATAGTATACAGCACAAAAGAAATTAACAAACTGCAAAAAGTATATAATAAATTCTTTCTTTTAAAATATAATATAAGAACAATAGAAGAACATTTTCAGCCTAAAATCGGCGGAAAAATAAGAATTTCCAGCCTCAGCCGGAAAAACAACATTCTCACAAAAAGACTGTAAGTTTCAAGACAAGGGAGTAGGTGAACAGCGAAATTGGCAGTGGGGTTTTTCTCAAACATCTTAGTGGGTTTTTGTGTGTAACTCTTGCAGGATTGGTCAGAATTTTCAAAATGAGATATATATCTATACTTCCTGAACTCGTTGCTCACTTATCTTAATTAATTAAACTTAAAGCTAAGTTTGTTCAGCATAGTTCTTATTGACCCTGACTCGATCCGTGCCTAAGGGGTTTAACTCTTACCTTCAAAACGGAGACTGGTAAAAGGAGGACTAGTAACCCATCGACTAGCAAATGAGACGTAGCCTTCGAAAGCCTGCGCATGCGTCCTGGCCACCTTATTTACCCCTTTTCCTTCAAACGCCTGCCAAGCAGGCTCTGAATAGGTAACTGCAGGAGCCCATAACCCGGAACGAGCAACTCCCATACTAGGCCTATGTCTCGGTGTTTTTACCGACTAGTTTATTTTTAGACACATTTTAGGGCACTTTTCCCCGCGAAAATAGAATCTCCACCATGTCTATGAGCGCATTCGACAAAAAAGGCAAAAAATATCATTTTTAGGTCTGTAGGTTTTGCTGACCGGTTTGTGGAATATAAAAGATATTCAAAATCCGCCCCCAAACTGTTCTAAAAATAAACTGGTCCGTGAAAACGCCGTGACACGCTCCAGGTTATGCGCTCCTGGTAACTGGTTTTGTTATTTATTCAAATATTTCTCCTTTTTCTGATTGGCTCACTGAAATAGGGCTGTGCCTAAGATGCTCTAAAACGTTACCCCCCAAATGCTAAAATTTTCAAGTTGCTTTCTACATTTCTACAAGACGTTTTTAATCAACCTACCAAACAACACTTTCACTGTTCTTTGACTCCTAAGTTCCACGGTCGTTGTTACCACCAGCGGGGTTGGTTTCTGTTTGTTTGGTCGGGATATGTCATTATTAGCCTTATCTGGTATGCTTAGACTCGCACCTCAAGTGGCATTAACTCTTCGAGGTCCCTAGAGGTCCTCAAGCGAGGGGTCGTACGGCTCCGCCATTTCAGTTGAATTCATCAACTCACCGCTGACCACTTGAATCGCCTATTCAAACCACAGGCAAACCAATGCGAGCAGTGCCCCACAATGTGTAATGAAATGTTTAGAAAACTATACTTTATGTGACGGTTGTGACCAAAACAGCCGAAAAAGTGCTTAAAAAAATTAATGCTTCATATGCCAGTTTGGTGTGTTATAATCTGATGGTATTGTCTTAGAGCATCTGATTAGAAGTTGCCCAAAATAGACCTTATTCACGATACCCACCACCTTTGCACGCGCTTTAGGATTGATGGGATAAAAGCAAGGTCAGGTGGTAGTTCAGGGGACAAAGAAGTGATAGAATTTGCGAATAGGAGTAATCGCGGTCGAGTTTGTTCAATCTCGCAAAACGAAACGACGATTTAATAGTCATCCAAAGTGTACGGTTCGAGTTTCGACAAGTTTACGTCGTTATTTACCTTACACCCAACGTCCCCAATCTCAACCTGTTGTAACGCAGCTGGAAATAGCACTCACTGAATCAAATGGAAATAAGACAAATATGTTGAAAAGGAATGACAAAGAACGCCAGAGACGAAAACTGCTGGCAAAGGATGGTGCTTAGGGCGGGGTAGGAAGCAGGCAGGCAGGAGGCAGAAGAATTGTCTTCACTAGCCCAAATTGGCTGTCTAGATCTCGCACCTTTGCCGGCTCGATGTTGCGCTGGGTCCTACTACACATATAAGCCCCTTTCATGACTCTGTAGGTTGTATGAGAAGGTCCAAGAGAACGTCCCACACTTGTTGGTTAAAGGGTCTGCCCACTAAAACGCAGAACCCGCGCTTGCGCCATAAAAGGCAGAATATCAGACTCAGTTCCAGGACGGTATTGATCAGCGGGTATAAACGGAAGACCCTGCTCAGCTATAGCGATGACCAGCGATAAACTGGCCTATTGGGACATACAATTCTGCTTTGTGCATAACCCGCAGAACGTCACTTGACGTCTTTCAAGTGAGCATGGAGGGGGGGGGGGTGCGTGGAGAGCGAGAAGCTTACCTGAAAAACGCAAAAATTACGCCTGATCTGCAGCACTACGAAGAGAAAAGAGTAGACACGGCAGATAACCTCGAAGAAATGAGTTATCTCTCTGAATGATTAAAGTGGCTAGGGGCTACTCACATGATACCGAAATCATCTTTATTCTGGAACGAGTTCATTCCATCTCCATGTATTTCTCTGTAATTGTTTACATGATACCGAACCAATACAAGTCATTCCGGGAATGAGTTCATTCCAGTTTTTATTCCCAATAAAATTCTTGTCCTGGTACGAAATTTCATTCTGGCATCATGTAAACTGAAAACGAACTTCGTTTCGGATTGAAAATTGCAGATCAAGTAGTCTGGGGCGAATAGCGCACGCGTATCCGATCTGGCGCGAGAACCACGCAAGCGAGAACACCTTAGGCTAAGCCGTTCGATTGTATCACGTGAATGCAGTACGAACTTCACTCTGGAACGAAACTCATTACGGAATGAAAGTCATTACGGTATCATTTCCACGGCCCCTTACTTTCAGAGGATTGGTCGGGGATTCAAATACAGTAAACAAATAAGTTAAAAGCTAACTTTTTACGCTGTAGCTCTTCGTTAAAAAATTGGAAATTGAATCAGCAACAAAGAGGATACGATGTTGAGTAGACGGATAAAATCAATGTATCGCTAGTAGACCAATCTAAAGAGCTGGACGTACTTATGAAAAGTGACTTGGGAAAAATAATGAAACATAGGGCTTAAGGTTGAGACTAGCTAGCATAGTGGTGCCAATCATTTGAGGCCAACGTACTAATCATAGTGATGATCAGAACATAAAATACGCTACTGACAAATGCTTTCACTCACGTACGATTTCAGTGGAATGGTGTACAGTCTAGAGTTCTCGCCTTCGTCGGAAGAGGGAAGGGGGCGGTGGGGGAGATAAGTGACGGGCCTTGGAGACCTGCTGCCCTTGCCCTTACTTTGAAGGTCCATTTCAATAGCACACCTGTAGTAGGATTTCCACTGTCGCGAAATGTTTACGTGCCTGATCTTTCATAGATAGCCTGCGAACAGCAGACGTACGTCCTTTACTTCTTTATTAATTTACTCGCTGATTCTTGGCAGGGTCACCGCGACAGCGCGTGGCGCCACTACTTAGGCCCGAACAGTCCTCCCCCGACCCCGACCCCCCCATGAGAGATAGACCACCACACCGGGAACTACGTCCCCTTCTCTTCACGAAAAGTGAGTGGGTTCTTTTACGTCTCACAGAATTTATAAGTGTAAGTGCTGTGAGCCGGGGCCTACGGTTTGTCGTCCTTATCCGAGAAGATTATAAAGTCTATAACAGTTTGCGGATGTCTCCACAAAGGCAGTCCTTTCTCCTCAGTTATTTAAAGCTACGTGCAAACCGACGCAACATTGTTGGCCAACAACTCCCACCATTGTTGGATGTGACATGTTGCGTCCGTTTGCACACCCTGTTGCGTGTTTTTGTGCAAAGTTTGAAACAGGTCAAACTTTTAGCCCCGTGCAAACGGGTGCAACATTGTTGGGAGTTGTTGCGTCAGTTTTCATGCAGCTCAAAAATCCTGAGTGTTGGTCCTGCCGGGGTTTGAACCAACGCCCCACGCTTGGCAGCCCCGCGCTTATCCAATTGAGCTAACCGGGCGGCGGTTAAACAAAAGATTATGCATTTATCCATTTTACGCGGGTAGGCTCTTACCTAAGCTATATATCGATAGTAGAGGAGACTGGTTATGAAAGGCGAAAAAGATCGAATATATAAAAAACGGTGCTGTAGTGTATTTTGGGACCTCCCTGGTGGTGTTTAATCCATTTGTTTTTGTTCACAAATTATGACGGAATGAATTGATGCGATCAGTTTCATTGGTCGGCTAAATCCACAAAATCATCTAATAAATGAGTTCATAGCCATCCCCTCTATTAACACTGTCCAAGCTTACTTGAAACGAATATGGTATCGTAATCATCATGGTGTTTTTACCACAAGAGCTTTCCAATTTTTTTGACATGTATACATTTTCAAATTCCATTTAGATGAATTACCAAACTGCTCCACATCTAGCTTCTCAGCATGATGATCTTTTAAGTGTCTCCTCCGAGACAATACCATTGTATCATCTACTACCCATCAAGGAAGAGGCAGCATTAGACCAAAGCTGTTGCCATGGAGATGGATCCGAGCTAATAAGTCTGAGCGGCCTGCTAGAAACTGCATTTGATATTCAAGATGAAAACGCCACTACCAATACAACGTTCAACCACGCCAACGATGGCAGCTCCTTTTCTGTAACTCAGGGTTGTCCTGACAACTGTCCCTGTGTTTGCCATGTACCAGCTCCATGCACTTCCTTTAATCAGAGGCGCCCCTCTGTGATCATGACTCCTGTGGCTAGACGCCGCAAAGCAGCAAGTGAATCATGTACACACGCTCCTCTTAAGGTACGTACAGGTACTTTAGGGAGCTTAATCAACAGCGTTTTAGAGCGACGGAAGTCTACTGGAAGTGGACTTTTTGCATCATTGGACAGTGGTTTGGTTCAAACTCTCGGGCAAATCGTCTTAATAAGGGAAAAGAAACTTAGCAATACAAATTTGTTAGCGTAAAGGCACGTAAAAAGGCACGGCTGACGTGCGTGGCTCAACAAGAGAGCTTAAAGCAAAGCCGTTTTTAGCGACGGACCGCTACCGGAATTTGTTGTTGTTGCTATTTTTTTTTCATCCTCGGGCAGTGATTTTGCCCAAATTTGGTAGCGTCAAGGTTTATTAACAGAGAAAAGGCCACACTTCCGGTTGCCGTCCGTGGCTCCAAAAAGCCTTTGCCCTTCCTTGAGAAGACTAGGGGTATACAGGCCTTGCCCGCTGTGCAGGCAAAACTCATTTTTCGGATTCGATTTGCCGACCCCTAGGATTCTGAAAACAAAGAAGATCGGGGAGACGATCTGGAGTCATGAGTTTCCGTTTGAAATTCATCATGGTGGTTATGAATATCCCGAGTCAGTCCTCGCGGGTAAACAGTGCAAGAAAAACACCTGCATGAAACTTTATACAACACTTGTCCACGTGCACTGTATTATCGTTCGGTTTACAATTGGTGGTGTCAAAGTACAGAACGAACGATGTTCTACTTGATGATGTACCCTCCACCCTCAATTTGAAAGCTCCCCATAACTAAACCCATAGCAAGTCCCAGAATCATAGTTTGAAGGCCTAGCAAATTCCTCTGTGAAAATCGTCATTTATTGTTGGCGAGGCTGTTTGGGATGTCCAGTTGCTTGCCCACGAATATGAAAGTAAAACCTTGATGGCGATCTTTTTAAACGGCAGGGAACTCTTTCGATATGTTTTTAACTTTTTTTTCTTTATTCTTCTTCCTTTTCATGGGGGAGGAGGATTCGTGTTTTTACTTCTTATTCCATAGACAAACACATTTGCTTTGACAGACAATCTTTGATGGAGGAACGCCACTTGAAGCATTTTTCACAAAGTCTATCTTGAACTTCTTTAGTGAAAAAAGTAACTTTACCAAAAGGAAACGAATGGCTAAGTTATTCTTCTGTGGTTCTTTAACCAGATTAACCAGATTGGAGAAAACCTTGAAAAGCCCTTCCATATCGTTCCAAATCAGGACGTCGTTACAAGCGTAAGTGTTTATGTTGTGTCTTTTGGTCGAGTCAAAATCTGAGAGCGCTAAAGACAAGAGCGTTCTAATGGTAAAAGCATTTCGAAATCTAGAAACTACGAAACGCTATTTTCAGCCGTTTCTTCATGACGCATTTCTTGAATAACATCACAGATCTCATTTAAATGTAAAATGGCGCTTTAAAGACTGCTTACAAGGTTGTTCGTTCCACGCAGTTTGATACTGGTGTAAAAGACACGACGATGCTGTTTTTGTACAGGTACCCCCAGTTCACGCGTGAGACTCGTTGTTGCGTAACAGAAATATTATAAGGGTTTGTATGGAGATTTAAGGTGACTCGACCCAGTTTTTTGGGGGGTACCATCCTACTTTGAAGCTCTCTGGTATCCCCACCTTTACTTTTATCGTAAGTCTAACACATAGAATGGATAACATATAGATCAATCTACAATATAACATAAAATTTTTGGCGATCGGAGTAAATGTCACGTGGTTATAATGCCACGCCCCTTTCAGGTCTGAGTCGAAAATCTGCTGTTGCCAGCATTTTTTCGTGAAAATCTCTCGGCTACACATAGTGCGCAATAGTGCCTTGCGCTGAACAGAGTTTCACCAAAATCGCAAAGACCCAATTCGAGAAATTCAGCGGTTTCCAAATTTAGGTCATAATTTATGCGAAAATGATAAGCAAACTTTACAAGGATTATATCTAATAAACTATGAGATTCATCTCTTTATTTTGGGCATCGTTGTAACAGATGGTTCCTTGCAAGTCAGCAAAACAATTTAGGGCCTTGTAAATGCGCGCCATTTCGAGCAAAGCAAACATATAGAAATTATAGTTTTCGCTATTTGTTGACATTTGTCGGCGTTTAAGAGTCAATCTCACGAAAAAATCGTTTTCTTAAAAAAGTTCGTAGTTTTTTTTCCTTCAAATTTTTTCAGGGCCACAATTGATTAACTAACTACCCGGACTCTGAATTTCATGGTCATTGAAAAACTGTGACATTATCTTCTATAAGCCCAAACTTGAGTAAACATTGAAGATTTTTAGCGTTTTGGCTGAGTTTGTGCTTTGGGAGTTGTCTATTGTTTCTAGTCTGTCATGATACAGCATTCTTGTTCAGCATGCGTGCAATGACCGCGCTTGGCTGACTCAGACCTGAAAGGGGCGTGGCATTATAACCACGTGACATTTACTCCGATCGCCAAAAATTTTATGTTATATTGTAGATTGATCTATATGTTATCCATTCTATGTGTTAGACTTACGATAAAAGTAAAGGTGGGGATACCAGAGAGCTTCAAAGTAGGATGGTACCCCCTCAAAAAACTGGGTCGAGTCACCTAAAGCGATCGTTATTTAGGGGTCAAACACAGTAGTAAAGATACATTAGAATTTCGTAAGCTGTGTCCTTGTCTAAATTTATGGTGTTTTCTTTGCATATTTGGCCGTTCTCAGGCGATTCCAGCGAGTTTTATGACGCAAGAACGAGTCTCACTAGTGAGCTTGGGGTACCTGTGGGTTTTCGTTGTCTCGTTATACACCACACATCTTCTACCCATGCAGGGGGTGTGTTATTTCACCAGTTATTATATATTTTGCTAATTAGCTTCGTTATAGTTGATCTATTCTCATGAAACTTAAGCTTTATAAGTTTTGCTTAGACGGCCAGCAGTCTCGCTTTAGCTCTAAGTGGGCAAGGGTGTGGGGTAGGGAAAGATGCGTCATCGTCCTTAGTTTAGGTACTGATCGTTGTTGTTTTCATCATGGTTATCTTAACTTGTTTCTTCGTCATCGATCATCCTGGCACTATCATTTGCATTCGGCTCTTTCTTTCTTCCTCTTCCCCATTGCTATTACCGATCTCCTCTAACGCAACGTCGTCTTCTGTAGCTTCGTACTCCTCGTCTTATTCAACTATTTCGTTCCGTTCGTCGTAAGCATTTATTTTCTCTCCCACAGATCAACTGATTCTTTTTGGTAAGGGGTATTGAATGTCCAGTGACAGCTCAAAAAGAGAAAATTAAGACGGAAGACATTTGAGTGGGCCTCATGCATGCTTGAAATACTTGAAGGCGGCATTGGCTTTCTGATAAGTGACTTTCCCAACTTCAAACTCATAAACCATCATGCCTTAAGCTTGAGCATTCCACGCTCGCATTCATCTCTCTCTTTCTTGATTGCAATATATTTAAGTGCTCGTTTGTCCTGGCATTACGATAAAAAGACACAGTGGATTTTGGTGATGGTGATAATGCTTGATAATGGTGATGATGATATGTACAGAAACTGTCGGTTGAAACAGAGGACGCAAAAAACCACTTACTTAGCCAGCCAACGTTTACCATATATGGTGAGTGCATATTGTGAGCAACTTTTATGCCTCTTTCAACAGGAGGAACAAGAAAGCAACGAGACTATCGATGTCATTCCCGAGAAAGAAAGCAACAAAAGGGTGGTAAGTGTATCCAAGAGAGAACAATGAAACAGAGAGTGAAACGCCCAGTCTAGCCCAAAGTTATTTTTTGACCAATTACAGTCGGTTGTTTCTAAGCATAGACACGCGACAAAAAGTCATGTTCTATTAAGGTGCCAGACATGACGTGTTTTGCCAGCAAACATTTGAGTTTGACAGCCGATAAAGCAAACTGTCGCGCCAAAGGCTTAAGTTGTTTGTATGCTTTTGGACAGGGTGTTCCGCTCATCTTTTATTTTTCTCAACTTTTAGGAATATTTCTCTCTCAGAAACAGCACACTTGCATCTAAGAATCACTCTTTGGTGTTTACAACTCCAGAAATTCTTCGCAATGTTTATAATTCTTGCGATGAATATTTTCTTGAGTGAAAAAAAATCAAGTCGACAAACAGCCGTCTACTTTGCACGTGAACATTTGTTTAAGGCCATCCCAAACTTCGAATGCCTGGCGGTAAATCATGTGATGTTTGCACTCAATTAGAACATGTTTTTCGTCACGTGGACACGTTTAGATGCATCCGACGGTAAACGCTCGAAATTAATCTAACATTTGTTTCCGGCGAGGTCCGCATCGTTTATTCATTGCTGTCAGCAGCCTTCCTGGTCAGTTGTCAAGAGAGGATTCTACAGTACCGAGAGAGACTTATTCTCTCTTGACAGTCGTCATTAAAATATTCTGCATTGTTTGATTTGAGGCAGCCGCGCGTGAACATGATTCGTTTTAAACAATCGATTAAAATGTGAGGACGTCCCAGGAATTAGACTTCCGTTAAAATACAGCCTCTAAAAATAACTTAAGTGAAATTTCCATTCCCCGGCCAACGACCTAAGAACCCCCCCCCCCCCAACTGTCCCATAATTCTCTCTTGATGTATCGCATTTCAAGAAATCAATAGAACGGCAAATCGAATAAGTGTCCTTTAAACAAACCAGTAATGGCATACATTAAGGCGGAGGCTGTTTAATGACCAGTTGGAGCTACAACCAGTTGTGGAATTTATGCACTTTTGGCATCGCACTTATGGACAGTTACTGCATTAAGATATTTGCAGGAGCAATTATTATTTATCCAGTCTGTCTGCTTTGACTTATGCCTTATTTCTCTTCACCGAAAATTCAGATTTTTGCAGATAGCAGAGAAACTAAGGATGTTGTCGCAGTAACATCATGACATTTATTAAACAGCAACTGAATGTCACCAACTTCGTTAAAATGTGTTAGGATAACAGGTTCTGCCTCAAAATTGTTTTAAACAAATACGGCTTAAACCGTATGAAGTTGTCTCCCCCTCCCTGTACATCAGAGGCTAAAATGTTTTGCAAACTGAACCAGTCACGGTGAACTTTTGCATCGGTTCATACGTGCCTGGAAGGTGATTACGTTTCCTTGCATTTACAAGATTAGAAGAAATCGTGTGAACATAGCCTTTTAATAACGAGTAAATAAGATGTCCACTCATTTTGTGTCTGTTTGAAAACTTAAGCGTCTTAAACGCCTCCGGACAAAGTCTGAGTTAATCTTTTCCCTTACGATAGGAAAAAGTCTGGAAAGATACTAAAGACGGAAAGCGTTTCCTTCGAGCTAATATCGATGGTCTGGTAACGAGATTTAAGCTGACAGAAGAAGATTGGGAAGTAATGGAGATCACCCATTTCCCAGGTGGAGGTCGTTTGTTAGGTGGTGCCTGGACTACGATTTTTAAACGTGGTTTACACGAAAGCAATCCCTGGTGCAACTTGCGTCTAAAGAATAATCACGTTCGAAAGGAAAACTCTCGAAAGATCATTTCAGCATCGTTCTTCAGAGGATCTGGAAACTGCAAGCGCCGTGAGTGCAACATGAAATTCAAAATGGTCATTGAAGAGGAGAGGGGAAAATACGTGAAAGTGACGTACACGGGAAATGTCTGCCACAACCATGAATCATATCCAACGAAAAAGTGACTTCAAGAATGACTGCAAAAGACCTGACAACGGTCTCGGGCGGTTAGTTGAACCCGCCCATGCAAGGATAGGTTAGCTTTGTGAGCTTCAATCGTAGTAAGAAGAAGATGTTTGACTTTTTTAGTGTCTCGAAAATCAAAATACGAGAACTTCAAGTTTTTAAAGGATGGGAGAGAAAGTAGAACTGTAAAAAAGGAATGTACCCCTTTCTATATTCTTAAAGGTCAAACCCGTTACAAATGGACGTCATTTTTACAGTAGAAGAGACACAACAGACAAAGTAGGTGGAACGAACAGTTATATAAGGCCCCTGGAAAGGACGTGGAGGTTACCAAATCTCATTTTTCTATCCTATTTTTCCAATTCCTTTCTTCGATGTCTTCACATTACTATCTAGGAGCCTGCAACAGGCTAATCCAATGATAGCTAAGATTCCATTCCACTGGCAAAAGCGCGAGGACGAACCCAAAGTCAAAGTCACTTAGGGGATACTCAGATCTTAAAAATAGGCACATCACAGCTCTGTTTATAATTGATCAAAAAAAGATCAATTAAAACTTTGATGTATCTTAGTGCTAAGGATTGTTTGTAGATTTTATCACATTTGTATAACCTTTATATTGTTTACAGGTTGTTGATTTATTCAATAAACAGTTCCTCTCCTTTTCATCTTAACTGTCTTCTTTTTTTTCGTCTGTGAATATTTGTTTTATATCCTCCCTTTACATACAGTGTGCAAACAGAGTTCGGGCCATAACCAGAACTGGATAAATGACGTCACCCAACTTATCAAAAGGCGCCCACACCAAGGGTAACTATACACGGTCATTTCTTAGCTCGCTTCTGCGCTTTGAAATCAGGCCTTTTCCCACATTAGTTTGAGAACTTGCTTTTGAACAATAACGAACCGAGCAGAAGAGGGTTAAAAATTGCGTCCGTTGAAATTTTGCAAGCGATTTACACGTCGTGAAACGAATAAAGTTGGGACTTTGAGCCTGATCAGGCGCCAAACATCTGGAGAACGCAGGTAGGCAGCAGTTTTTTGTTTTTTGCAATCTTAATTTCATTTGCTTGTACTTGGTGATATTTTCATTGTAGTCCAGGTCTCCTCCACATAGTGCTACGTTTTTGAAGAGGCAACAATCAGTTGCGCAATGAGCGTTGGCTGTGAAGAGACAAATCCATTGCACAGCTCACGCCATGTTCTTTTTCTTGAAGTCTGGTAGAAATCCACATGATTACTTTCTTGGATGGCAATATTCTACAGAAATCCGGGACTGTTCAGAAGTGTAAAAACAGCTTCTCGAAATGAACTTTCGAAGCTTCAAGATATTGAGCTTCCTAGACACAGCCTATAGACACCCGTGAAGTGCGAAATTGAGAAAAGTTAACTCAGAGCTTCAAACAAAGAGGCAGACAACAAATGTGCTGTTTTCATCTTTTGGTATTTAACTCTTTAACCAAGTTATGGCGAGATTATTTGTCACTCTACTGTTGAATACGCAAACTGAATCATACGGTGTTACCATTCAAACGGTACGACTTTGGCAGAACTTTTGGTAAGATTTCGGTATCACCCGTGTACATTTTGTGACTCAAACTCTATCCATGTTCTCCTTTTTTAGGGTTAGTCGAACATATACATCGGTATATTTATTTCTTGGCATTTTACGAAGGGGGAATTGGAATTGTTCACTTTGGCCGTAATGGGGAGTGAAAGGAATAATAAGATGCAAAAAGGTATAAGGCGTATTTGTACAAATTCTAATGCAAGGGACAAGGCTTCATGGAAGGGAACCTTTACCATATGATTGACATTCACAATGGTAAAAAAGTCTCCACCAGCCTAGTCGAGTCCTGTTTGCACTTAAAGATAAAATGAAGTCTGAACTAGACCGGCTAGAGGGACTACAAACGCTTCGCAAGGCAAAAAGAGCCTATATTCTGGGTGTCAAATATTGTAGTGCTCGAAAAGCTGAATGGAAAATTGAGGATCAGCATCCATTCTGTCCACCTGAATCAGGCACTGAATCGATCACACTGCCCATTACCTGTGACAGAGGATGTTCTACTTCAGTTAGCCGATGTTAAGTTTGAACAAATATGGTTCCTCACATATCTAGCTCGACGACGTGTCATCCAGAGCCCTGGAGGAGCTGCTGTTTGAAAGGAATGCCATTTGGAATGTCACCTGGTTCGGAGCTATCTCGACAGGAAAAGCTCGATCAGATTTTAGAGGGCATAACTGATGTACACCGAAACTTTGACGACCTGCTGATTACCCTCTCAGCCACAATGCAGGAGTATGATCGGAATAATGCACCTATCAATGTAAACCCCGTGGGGGGGATATGCGGGCAAGGGGTGGGGATTTGACAAATTTTAAAATTTTTTGATCAAATTCCCCAGGGTGGGAAACGAAAGGTCAATCAAAAGTGTCAAAAAAGCCCCCACCACAGGGGAGAAAATCTAAACAAACAATACTATAATACTGTATAAAACGAATTAAAAGAACATTTCAAAAGTACGTCCTTACTAAACGTAAGTTCCGTTAAATTACTCTCCGTAATTAATAAGTATTTTCTTTCTCCACTAGCATCTCTTATTTTGAACAACAAAATCACTCTAGGAAGATTGACCGTGCTATTATAATATTAATGAAACGTAAAATGCTTTATAACATCTGCTCAACATGTCGGAACATGTCGAATCAGTGACCCGTAAAAAATCCTCTGACTTTCATGTTGGAATTCGATTTCAATCGAGTTTTACAATCAGATGGGAACTTGAAGATAAAAACTTTCTAGACATTAAACAATAGACATTATCTGTTTAGATGACAGTTTAAAGTATCGGATTATGGTGATTAAAACAAATAAAACTTCACACCTTTCTCCAATAGCGGGGCTTTCAGAAAGCCTCGAGGGACGGATTTGGTAACCGCTTCTGAATTGATACCAGGCTTCTGTCGGTCAAAGTCAAATGTCCCGACCCCGGGGTCGCTTCGCACAATCAAAAGCTCGACAGGGGGATAGTCTCAGGCATCAAATCCCCGCCCCTTGCCCGCACTCCCCCCCCCGCCCCCATTGATAGGTGCATAAGCCCTTTAGAAAGGTTCTTGTAAAGGACCATTAAGCTCAATAGACAGAAGTTTATGTTTAATTCATCGGTCACTTGTTAAGCAGTGAAGTAGTGCTTCTGATTGGTCGTGCCGCGTGGGAAATTTGACTCAAGCCACCAGAAGCACTACCCAGATCTGGGTAGTGACGCGTTATCAGTATGGAGTTTCAAATTCAAATGTCAAATGTCGGTTGCTTTCTCAGGCTAAGCCCCACCCATAGACTTACTAATAAAGATGTTCCCAGGGATTGGCTACCTTGACCTTGAGAACTAGGGCCAACATGAAATGGGGTTAAATGTCATCATGGGCTCTCCCTTTCCCCCTTACATCTGAGTACGCGCATATACACATCGTGGATGTCTCAACCTTCACTACGATTCAAACCAGGAATCCACATAAGTTACTCAAGGCTGGTTTGAATCGTAATGAGGACACCCCCAACGTGTACCTTACTACTGAAATCTCGTCTACTAGTGTTAAAGTTAGGTTTACACTAGCAACTAATTGAAAGCAAAAGCGGAGGTGGAAGCAGCGGTCGAAAAGTTTGTGTCAATCAAAAAACAAAGAAAGACCTGATGAGAATTGAAAGTTTTACCAACAAGGACGGCGAATGTAACGAAAACAACCAAAACGCTCATGGTCTAACGAGCAAAACAACAACTTTGCACAAGGATCGCAATTTTAAGTCCATTTCTTTCACTTCACAGTGCTGCACTGACCAAGACGTTTAATTTCCTTATGCAAAGTCTTGGTTCCAGTCTCTAAGAAGTCATCTCCACGGGAATTCATGTACGTTTTTGCATTTTAAGCGAGTTGGAATAATCGAGACTAAGTTTGAAGAAATGCGAATTCAATTTGGTAATGACGTTTTCGCTGCAGTCCTTGTTTCTACTCCCTAAGCACCTGGGACCGAAAAGACGGAGGAGTAGACAGAAACAGAAACATTAAGTCAACTTCTGCTTCTTTTTCCTTTGTTCTGGTTCAAACCTAATTTAAACCAATGGCGATACATACTCACCGATTTTGTTTTTTGGACAATTGTTCAGAACACTTTAAGGTGCGGAAGAAATGCAAAATGCTTTACAGGAATCAGGCGAAAACCATGTGCGCCTCAAATCGTGTTTTTCACCCTTTTCCAATAACAATCTTACTATACACTTAAGATAACTGATTTTTCTTGACATAATCCAATGCGTCGTCGTACCCTTTACCGTATATCTTACGAAGAAGACGCTTCCTGGGCGGGTACAAAATATTTGTCGCTCTTCGCATGTTTTCTCTGTTAACGTACACGTGCATATTCCTCCAACAAATCTCAGAGAAGGATCGGGAATTATCCTGCGGACAGATCTCATTTTTCCCGCTGAATGGAGACACTCTAATGGTAATTCCCGATGGGGGAATAGGGAGGTTGTCAGTAAATCCACCATCAAACCAGGTCTATGGAAAAAGAGGCGAAAGAACAAGGATAAGGCTCAGGAAATTCGAGCGCACAGAACATCCTATTCCACGGAAAGCGACTCGGTGAAAGGGATTATTGTTTTAATGATGGTTTCTCAGTCAAAATTGTGGTAGAATCTAATCATAATGAACTATGGATTGTGACTTCTATATATACGTGTATAAATTTAAGAAGCGATTTATGTTTTCCTCTTAGGGGTTAATGATGTGTGACTGAAGCTGTATTTGGTCTATTAAGATACGTATAATAAATGCGTAAGATGCATGAGCATATTAAATACGTAATAAATTAGACGAAAGATCATGACTGAAAATTCTTATAATGGCGTGTCCCTCAGGTTAGTGGGCGTAATCAAGTATCATAAAAGTAAGAAGGGGGTGTGAGGTTCTTTTCTGCCCTGAAATGATATATGATGACTTTTCTGGTCAGAAGTTAGAATTTTTGTCGCGACCTTTCCTGTAGCCTGAGATAACAGCCGACATTTCGGGACGCCCCAACAGGTGGGTTACGTGCGAAAGGACGTCTGAGAACGAGCGCAAAAATTCCATACTGATGACGTGTCACTACTCAGATCTGAGTAGTGCTTCTGACTGGATGAAGCAGATTTCCAACCAATAAGAAGCGCTACCCAGATCCGGGTAGTGGCACATCATCATTATGGAATTTCTGTGCTCGTTTCTCAGACGTCATTTCGCGGGAAACCACCAGAGACGTCGCGAAATGTCCGCTGTTTTCTCAGGCTACTTTTTTGGGAGTAACATTTGGGTAAAGACGTTCTGGCGCCAGAGTTTCTATTTTTACCTTATTTATAGCAAACAACAATATCAGGCTATGTTCACGCTATACCTGATATCAGACACAACTGGTATAGCATGAACAGCAACGGCACAGAACTAGAACAAGTCGTCCACACACATCGAACATCGTGCCGCAGCGGTTGGCCAAGAAGGTTTGATGTACTAAATCCCAGTCTTCACTCCTAAAATATTTACTTCCGTCTTAGTATTCCAGTCCTCTCCGCTATTTATTCACTCCCGCTACATTCCGAACACCTGTTCACACTAAAGCAAAGTGTGGCCCTGGTGTGGCACAGAACCTATCCGATATGTGATGCTCCACTTTCGAGATCAGGGTGGCCCAGCATCGCTCCGTTACAGAAATCGCGCCGAAATCACAGACCTTACTTGTGTGAACAGAAGCCCTACCCGCTATGGTTTTAGTGCCGGCGCAAATTCTGCCCGGTATGGCTTAAAGGGAACCTCCACTTCAACAAAAAGATAACTTTAAATAACAGGAAATAACTGTTACAGTCAAGTCAATCTAAAATATTTTTAAAGAAAGCGTTTGTATCCGAAAGAAATAACTTTTAGATTTGCCTATTTTTGTTTTCAAATTTTGCGGGCGTCGCCATCTTGAATAATTGTGACGTGTAATGGTTGCCCTATTGTTATTAAACAAAAGCTCTTTGTGTCAGAACAATAGAGCAACCGTAACACGTCACAATTATTCAAGATGGCGGCGCCCGCGAAATTCGAAAGTGAAAATAAGCGGTTTTAAAATTCACTTTTCCCGATATAAACACTTTTTTTAAGACAAATTTCGAACAAATTTGTTTATCAACATACTTTTATTCGATTTAAACTTATTCTGTAGTAAGAGTGGAGGTTCCCTTTAAGCAACAACGTTTTTGAGCGACGCACGTGAACCGGAAGTGGCCTTTTTTGACGGTGGTTTCGCGCAAATTTTCAGTCAAATCGCCTCTATAACAGTAAAGAAGCTAAGGAATACAAATTTTATATCATCAAGGCATGTTAAGAGGGAAAATACCTCACTTCCGGTTGACGTCCGTCGCTCAAAAACGCCTTTGCTTAAGCTCCCTATTGTGTGAACACAGCCTCAGTTATGTTTACAGAGGTAAATTCAGGTTTCGTACTCTTTTGAGCTCTTCAAATTCCATGACTTTTTCCATGACCTTTACAAGACCTTAGGTTTAGTTGTCACTTTCAATAATTTTCAACATTTTCCTCGTTTTTGGGTATTTTTGGACATTAAAAAGTTCCTCAGACACAAATTCTGGTGTCCACCAAAATGAGTGCAGTTTGCGCTGTTTCATTACTCCTCTCTATCTTACATTGTTCTTGCTTTGTCATCTGCAGTAACTAAACTACCAAACAGAACTTTCATTGTCCATGACTTTCAAGGACCGACAATTAAATTCCATGACTTTCCAGGCCTGGAAAATGAAATTCTTAAATTCCATGACTTTCCAGGTTTTCCATGACCTGTACGAACCCTGTAAATTACATGCTGATGACATGGCCATTTTCTAATCTCAGGGACCGCGGAGCAAGGTGAAAAGTGGGAGGGCTGACAATTGAAAATATTTTTTTCATATTGAAAATCGAAAAAAGGAATAAAAGGAATAAAATCATAGTATTTGTATGTTTACTGGTCAAACTCAAACTTATCATTCTCACTGCAAGTAGTTGTCGTCTTTTCTGTAGAGCTTACAGACTTTGACGAAGTCCCAGATAACTCTAATAAACGACCAACATACACGGTCAGTTCAGATTCAATGCAAGAAAAGACGGGATTACAATTTTAGTATAGAAAATACTACACTGACGTGATCTGAAAAATTTCTAACTATGGCCGTTCACTGTTCAAGTAATGTAATTCTTCTTGCCATCGAATATTTCATTGATTCGAAAGGAGAAAGAAAAAATATAAAACTTTTATCAACTCAAAACAACTACTCACCTTCGTTTGGCTTGAAAAAGCTAGTAATTTTCTTCATTTGTCTGATAAAACTGATAAAAAAAACTCTGCCGGAGCTGGAAGTACAAAACACGCTGCCGAACGAAGCGAAGGGGTGGCCAAGGCATGGCGTTAAATCAAGGGGCAAGTCGGCCCAAGGGCACAATTACCGCGAAAAGCACAGGAGCCCCTCAAAATGCCTGGCGTTTGAAATTAAAGAAAATACAGAGAATATAGCGGAATATAGACGGAAAAAACTTGTTTCAAGTCTTTTTTTTAAATTTAATTATTTTTCCTTTAGCGCAAAAAGTGGGGGCGGGGGCGCAAAAAAGTGGTGGGGCCGCGGCCCTACCAGCCCGTCCCCCTCCGCGGTCCCTGAATCTTATTCTTTTTTAGTAGGTCTGTCTTCTTGGTTTACCCATAATTTAACCTATTTCTACGAAATTTCCCGTTCCTATTAATCTGAGTAAAAGCCTGGCCCAGTTGGATGAGCTTTCAGGCAGACAAGGGGGAACAAATTTTGTCCAGCATCGGCTTCTTGAAATTGCTGTAACTTTTTCAGACAGCACAAAAGCCTTTGAAAATACAAACGACCCAAAAACTGTTTTTCAAATTCACACTCGCCTCGGACTTGAAAGGCGAAAGGGTTTGATTTTCTAGACCTAAAAAAACTCCATTCAGCGGTAAGAATAGATCTGCCCTTTTTCAGAACAATACCCGCAAGAGCAAGATCGGACTCTTTCCCGGTAAACTAGGGTTTGAAAGAAAGTTACTTTCCTTATCATAGGTGAGAAAAAATGTTTTTATTGGAATCAATAATTCACAGCCTCATGGGAGGAGACCAGTGTCACCACGATTGTGTGCTTCTTGATATTTTGAAAGGGATACGTTTTTGTCGAAGGAAATCTCTGAGAGGTGCCTGGTCTTGCTCAAAGTTACCATAATAGTACAGGAAAACTATTTTTAGCTGAGAGCGGTTAGGAATCCATTGTGGTCAAAAGTGTTTGCCAGTTTTTGCTTCCTTTAGTGTGATTTTTTTTACTATTACGCGGAAAAATGGGCAAGGAAGTATAAAAGAATAAGTTATAAAGTCCGCCACTTTCCTTGAGTTTTTCTTGAAACAACGAGCTCCTGTTTCGTTGATAATGCTTTGCGCGCGGGTACAATCATGTTGAAGAAAAAATGGCACCGACAGTTCAAACCAATTCCAGTTTTCAAACAGGCAGAAACATTCAAACAGTTAGGTAAATTAACACCTCCTTATTTACTAGACGCCCTAATAGTTTACGACCCAGCAAAGGGTTAAAGACTGAAGTCAAGAATTATTCTATTGACCATCCCGCAATATGGATTGGAGAGCTGTGCACGATGATCCTCACGCTGTGGAACTCTTTAATGGATCACATAAGACAAGCAAAATGGATAGACGCTTTTAAATCTTTTTTAAAAGGCACCTTTTAAGCAAGTTTTACAGTCATGAATTCTTTCGTTTTCAAAATTTTTAACTAGATTTTTTTCTGTGATTTTATATTGCTTTACTTTTATTTCTTATACGTTTTTAAGTAAAGCGTTATTAGCTATTTCGATTTTGATTCTACCTTATTCATTTGCTAATATCATCATCATCATCATCATCACCTATTATTATTATTATCCTTTCAACCTTCATCGCGATAATTTCAACTCACCTACCTTGCCAAAAGTAGGCAAACTGTCCTGGAGTTGAATTCCTAAGAACCAAAACCCCACATCCAAATTCAGAAAGAGAAAGAAAATTTACACATTTCACGTCATGTTCTAGTCGTGCAGTGACGGCAAAGAAATGTACAAAATGTGCTGCAAGTGTAAAGTTGTTGTTTAGCTTATCAAACCTATTGCTTTTTTGACATTTTGCGATCCTTGTCGTCGTCGTAATCGGACCTTAGGGTCCTTAATGGCCATAGCGAGGATGCGCGGGAAGCTGGGTCCCCCAAACCTCAAAACAGTCTCGTTATGTCCCCATTACTGTCTAAGGAAACACTGGACGCAATACCTGTACTATACACGTTCACCGAGTCAGTATTTAATAACCACTGCAGCTAGTGACACATTTTTACCTTTTACTATGACCAGTACATTTTTATATCATATATATTAAGAACACTCAAGAAGTGCGAGACTCGCCAGCTTACAACTCGTGCTTCTCAAGAGTCCTCAAAACTAGAATATCCGCCTGCTTATATAACTGATTACCGCGCTGAGAGGTGCGCCTTTTAGTTCAACATACACTAATACCTAGGTGCTTACCATTACAAAAAGCTTTAGTTTAAAAGTTTCATGCATAAACATTCACCTATTTAACTGAACGTTGGGGAGAGGTTGGGTTGGGGAGTCGTTGGAAGGAATGGACCAGTTCCAAAATTTGACCAAAGAGAGGCGAAGAGACCAGAAAAAAGTAGGAAAACTGTATCACCTTAAATGGAAGCCCAAACTTTAAGACCCTGTCCAAACAAAAGAGAGTGAACCACCTCATTTCCTGACCATTGTTTCCAGTTTTTCCTTGCAAATCAAACGCACCACTAATCTCGACGACTTTCTATGGGCAAAGCAGAGGATCGGGTGATAACGGGGTAATTACATAAATTCTCTTCTTGTAAAAATCGAAGTGTGTCGTCATAGCCTAATTGCACTATACTCTCTATGCCTTCCTTTCGAGGGGGGACAAATATTTGCAGTTCTCTCTGGAGATTTTCTCTGTTCACATAAATATTCATATTATGGAAAGTGATATCAGTAAAACCCTGTGACTCGTCCTGAGGGCAGATATCGTTGTCTTTACCGCTGAATGGAGAAATACGAATAGTTCGGCCAAACTGGAGTCGTGGTAAATTATCACTCAATCCGCCATCAACCCATTTCTGTCAACAAAATCACAGAGATGTACTAAAATCTAAGCCTGGTTTTTAATTAGCGGCAGAATCGGAGTTCGAGTCACTTTGGAGCTTAACCAACCACGACGACCACGACGACGAAAACAGCACCAACAACAAATAGACCCTCCCCTGACTTTTTTATTTCAAGTTTTAATAAAGACCAGTTAGCGGATATCCATTGCGACTGCTGAAAAAAAAAAACGCCTTAAAATTGGCAAAATTAACAAATTTAAAGGTGATACGTTAAAGTAAGCGAAGATACTGCTCCACATAGTCGCGAAATTTAATAGAAGTTTGTATGGTTGGGGGGCACGAACGTGCCTCCCACTGTACAAGCGCCAGTAAAATTCGGCGACTTTGCGCAGCTGATCATGATCAGACTTGGCATCTTTACAAATTTTAAGGCGCTCTTTCTATCTGGCATAACGACTTTTTGCTTGCTGGTCCCAGTCAAATGTGGAGAAAACCGTGAAACAAAACAACAGCTCTGCATGTGTATCACGATTTTCAGTAAATTTCTTTGACGTTCACTGTACAACGATGTGAAACCTCGTAATGCGACGTTTTATGGAGGAAGTGAACGTACGACGACAAATTTTTCTTCCCCTTTTTGAACCTGGATAATGTTCTTAAGAATTCAACTCCAGGAGAAATCGCAGGCCTACATTTGACAATATGGGCGGGTACAAATACACGAGATAAGTTTGAATGGATGCAAATTCATTTTTCTTCCCACGTTTTCAATGCCGTCATGGTTGTCATTGCTTAAGCTTCCTATCATCAGAAAAGCAAGGACTAAACCAACCAATCGCAACAACTGAGAATAAGCGTTGTGATTGGTTATTTATTACCGCTTCTGCTTCTGACCACCAATTTTCCGAAAACAATATAAATAAGTAATAAACAAAGAATTGGAAGAAATAATAAAGGTTGAGGTACATGTAAGTGTTACAATTATTGTTTTATCATACATACTCCACCCTTGCTCACCCTTGTTACAGGGGTGCGCTAGGGTGGCGCATCATTGCGGGCTTGCCAAACCAACGGTATGGCTCAGCTTCAAATCACGAATGTGATACCATATGAGGGTTGAGTTCTGGGGGCGATCAAAAGTTTTCCCCTCTCCTCCAAACACAACATTTCCAAATTCCGGAGAACAACCTTTCGCTGCTTCTTACTCGTCATTCATATTTACTCTCTTATATAATTTTATTTTAAAAAAAATAGCCAAAGAACATGAACTGAAAAACAAATGCGTAATTCAATCCATAATAACTAGAACTATGGTGAAAAGAACTTAGAAACAATTTCTGAGTTCCAGATGGGAATTGAACCCCCAGTCTTCCGGATACCAGTCAGACGCTCTAACCACTGAGAATCTGAGTGATGGACAAGTCATTTGCAGGCTGACTAACAACCGCAATTTGAATCACATTATATGTAAAGTATGTCAGATGAACACACATTGCGCTCTCACGTAAATACTCTCTGACCAATTAAATAATAGGTAGAAATAAATTATGACAATCCAGTGATCAATCTGCTTTTGCGACAAAGAAAACTTTAAAGCACAAAATTAGATATCATTTTGTCGTAGACATGGTAGTTATGTACAATAACGATACGCATTGAAGCTTAAGTATGAACCACATACCTGCCCTAAATTGTGGAAACTTCAGCCCAGCATAGAAAGGAATGTAGCAGCTTGCCAGTAAAACCTTGAAAACAGAAGATCAATTTAAGATCATATTTATGTTTGAAACGTATAAACCACTTACCCTAGTATGTGCGTGGGCTAAAATGGTCTCAGTGATCAAACTCTTATTTTGAACCATGAATACCCTATCTCCTCAAATAATAGCCATCCCTCGATTAATTACCTCGGACCACAAATAATCACCCCCTCAAAAGGAAGTATTTAACATAATCGCCTCCTCGAATAATCGCCTCCCTCCCCCCCCCACCCCTTTCGCCATCTTTTCTTTCTTTTACACCCTCCCTGTCAAGTTGAAGTGGAGTCTGATCCAGCAAAACTGATTAGTGACAAATAAAGCTCGGATGCCAAGGATACTGACATTATTTCAATTTAATCAAGGAACCAAATTTGGAACACTTAAAAAGCCCATGTTCAGTGTATTTGATGTGATCAATTTTGGTTTAATGGGATAATAATAAAGAAAATATTTAGAGCCATCTTTCAGTAAGCAATATTTGAAATAATCGTCTCCCTCGATTAATTGCCCCCTTTTTGTCTGGCCATTAGTCGAGAAAATACAGCATAATTATGTAAACCCTTTAAGAAAAAATTATACGTATCATTTCAACAAGTATTGCCCTAATTACTTCAGAAAAAATAATGATTTCAGACAAACTGTATGCCTCTACTGTTAGTAATTTGTCATCACTGTATTTATATTGTAAGGAAATTAAAATAAATAAACTTGGAGCCTTCAAAAAACAGCCCTCTACTGGTCCTTCCCCCTCCCCTCCCCTTTCCCCCTAGACAGCAAAACAGTCCGTATTTTTGTGTATTCAATTGCGTGGGAACAGTCAAACAAAAAGGTCTGGAGTGAGACTGTGTACAGGTGCAGCACACAATTTTTACATTTCTGTTCCACCCTATGGGTGTGTGATGCTCGCGCACTTCCCTTGCGTGAGACTGTTACTCTTACACTTCACTAAACCAATTTTAAGAAAAAAACTGACTGCTTTGCAGTCAACTTTTCCCACTCCCCCCCCAAAAAAAATGAACAAACGTTATGGTGTCCCTTCAAACAAAAGCCAATCACAATTCCAAAACAATAGCAGTAAGTGAAAACATGACTGGACATGTTTAGGTAACAATGGTTTTCTTACTTTGAAAGTAACATGGGATGTCCAGAATGTTAAGAAAGTCTTTTACTTCCAAAAAAAAAGAAGCAGATCTCTAGACTACATATTCACCATCAGGTTCAGCAGACTTAATAATTAATATTATTTTTCATTTAAAATATTTTCCCGATTCTGATCGGCTAAAAGCACACGCACAATTCACCATAACCAGCTACTGATCACCAAATTTGGAAGAATTTTGCAATTATTAATCAACCAATGACATCAAAAGTGCAGCTTCCTTACAGGTTAATGCACTGTTAACCGAGAAGACCTGGGGACGAGGTTGAGTTGTTTTGGTTGTCAAAACAAAAATGGCAGACATTTCACTCATTTCAAGAGTAAAAACTAGGCGAAAAAATAGCTAAAAACATGGCAAGAACAGCAAGAAGACAACTCGAAGGGCGACATCTGTTATTTGGAGAATATTTGCAGTGCTGAACAACCCTAAATGTGCACTATCGAAGATGAACTTAACATCGATAAAGCATGTTGTAGCTATATTCTTAAACTAGGAATTATTTTGAATGATTAATAGAACAATTATTGAATACAGCTTTCATATCATATGAAGAATTATGGAGATCGAGGAGAGTGTTATTTAAAAATAACAAGGGCACATTTAGGGGTGGGCCCAGGGGGCCCTGTACCCCCTTTTTGTCCAGGAATGTTTTTCTGTAAGGATGTGTTGGATGGTACTTCAAGCTTTGTTACTTAAATATGTTTTCTTTAATAAACTTTGTTAATAAGAAAATTTATTGAACGTTGCCTTTACTGGAAGGTTGGGCTCTCGCCGTAATTGCTCCAGCCCCTGCCAGCATCATAACAGTGTTAATTACTTCTTTGACCACAACCACAGCTGTGGTTTATTAAATATTTCAGCATTATATGTTCAATATTACTAAATTTAAGCATCCAAAATGCACTAGATTGCATCTCAGAGAACTTCAATCTCAAAAATTTTCCCGGAGTAGCAATTTTTTGCGCCCGAAACTCCCTAGAAAAGTGTGCTGTTCGCAGTCCTGTTGGGCACTATCACGCCCATACCGCCACTGTGTACTATATCTCTAGGCCCCCTCTATCACAAAATCCTCTGTCCGCCCCTGAATAATGTACAGAAAAATCTAGATACTGATGGAAGAGTCTGGTGGTGTACTGTGATGCCACTATGTGAATGAATGGTTCAGTTACTATCATACACGAAAACAAAGGGAAACAAACATTCAAAAAATTAAGGATAATTAAACCAACACATTAGACAAAGAGCAGTCTAAAACACACTACAACTTAATTTAAAGGCTGGAAAAAGAATGGCCTCTTACTTGGATCTAGTCTTCCTTTGACTCAAATTCGGATATGATAACATTTTTCCTTTCTTTTAAACTTGTTACTGAAATAAAAAGCCTTCCTAAGGGGGCTGATGTTGCTAACACCGCGGCAACAAGTGACCCTGCCAAGGCACCTGCAAAAGCTGTTATGTTCTTGAGAAATTGAGGTGCATGAGATGTAAGACAAGTTGCTACTCCAAGGTGATAAACTCCACGAAAGCCGCAGCCTGCAAAGGAGAGGTTCATAAGTTGATCTGAAAGAAAAATACATCGTCATTAGCTATTTATTAGACTTGAAAGAATAACAAAAAATTAGTAGCCTGCAAAAACAGCCATCTCTCTTTGCTCTTCGCCGCTAGGGACGTTTCGCCAGGAGAGATGTCTTCGCCTCAGCCACAGAAATTCTATACTGATGATGTACATCAATGGTTACATAATCAACTCGGTAGTCAAACGGTTCAAAAAGTAAATTTGTTTGATTCTAAGTTTCTCCTGGTCGATTTTAAGAAAGTTTTGAGTTCTTCTGCGAATGCACTTGTACAAAATTCAAAAGCATATTCTAAAAGAATATATTCCAGGAATTTTGACTCTTTTGTTATAGATTCATCGCATCTACTTTTAACCTTTGTAGCCTTTTGTCTTTTGTCTGTCATTTGTAAACAATAGCTAAAGCAATATATTAAATATATTTTACTACTATGGTGACCAATCAGAGCTCCTGACCAGGGGTGAGATTCCAGACAGATTTTACGTCACCAGTATGGAATTTCTGTTGCTAAGGTGCATACGTCTCTTCTGGCGAAATATCCCTAGTGACAGGGAGCGAGGAGAGACGGCTGTTTTCGCAGGCTAGAAAATTAGCACCAAAATCTAAACATATAGGGTAAAATATTCATACAGCTTGAATCATGCAGGTATACCATAAAATATGTTTAGTATATACCAAAACAGTGGATAGTGTTTTTCGTGCGCTCTGATTGGCTACTCAATCAGTGAATATCCCGCACTATTCACCTCCAGTTCCTCCGAGCGAGCGACGCCAAACTCGCGTAAGTTGCGAGCAAAATGTCTTCCAGTTTTGCCGACATAACAAACAAAGAGATTTCACAACTAATCAAGCAAGCTGTTCCCGAAATACACAAAGAAGGTGACAAAGTTCGGTTTGGAAGTTTTAACAGGTAAAGCTTTGTCTTTTTGACTTGAATTTATCGATAAAACAGGTAAAAAAGTTTTTTTGTTTACAAATGCAAATTAAGAACGAATGTCGCTTGGAATTGGGCAAAATTGGAAATGGTCAAACAAAACCTCCCCTCATACTTTGTGTGTAGTTAGTACTTCAGATGAAACTACTCACTGTGGCATTTGTTTGACTGCTAACAAAAACCTACACTGGGCATCGGGGGGGAAGTTTGGGCCAAAAATTGCATTTTTTGGGACAATTTTCTCCTTGAAAATTGGAGTTTTGTTAGGTAAATATTTCAGAAAGCAGAGTAACACTTAAAAATCTGTTTACATGATAGCAAAATATCATCCTTCCTCTTTCTGTAGCCCCCCCTGACGGCCCCTGTTCATTGTCATTTACAAGGGGGGGGGGGAACCGTTTTTTGACAAGGCTTAAAAATAGACATTTTTGAACCCCTTTTTTTCTTACTAGCACTCCGATTTAGATCAAAATTGAAAAAGGATGTAAATATTACACCCTTTGTGAACCATTTCTTGCTTAAAAATCCGCGGGCACTCGATACATTTTTGCATGCCAATCAAATAAAAATGTATACCTGAGACAAAATTGTACATCTTCGCAACTTTTGTTCGCCGCTATCTTTCTTTCAAATAATGTCATTGGGGCGATGTTAAGCAAGAACGTTGCATGGTTCCTTTAGATTGCATTCCTTTACGTTTTACTGTCAGTTATCGAGCAGATTAACGATTTTTGGTTTACAAAAACAGGCATCGTGTGGTTGGCGGTTAATTTATGCAAATTACTACCCGCGATGTAACTTGGCAGGGAAATCTAATTCGACTTTTTCCTGCACAGTAAATCGCTTCGATGGGATTATTAATAGATAACTGACACATTACAGACCATTAACAAAGCAATCAAAGCGAGAAACATTTCAGAGCCACAGTCAAATCACTCACAAGTCACGGATAGATCTCATCCATGCATGTCGTTGAGTTGAAACTCCCTCTCTCATCTTCCCATCTTCAATGCACACCTCTCAGTTTCCTTCACTTAGAGACCCGGCCAATTTACTGCAGCTGCTTATAGAAAGACGAAATTTTCTTCACCGCGGAAGAAAATGTAGAAAATGGTGTTCTGTTGGATTGTCTTGCAATTTTCCAGCAGACTTTTCAAGGTAACTTATCTTAGTCACGCAATGTGTCACGTCCTAAGCGCTACCGGGTTGACACCATTATTCTATAATACAGTACTTTTTCCCTCTACTGTGCGAATATTAAAATCTTCAAGAATTCATGAAAGTGTTATTAAGTACAATGCCAGAAAAACAGTGAGCCCCATTTTATTTAGACTTAGACCCTTCTGAAAGTGCTATTCAACCTGTTTGAATTGGACATATTGTTGATAAAAAATTCAAAGCCGACTTGAATTCCGGGGGGTACTCCCTAAAATGGCCTATACGGAGAAGCTCCACCCGAAAGGGGTCCCATTTTCAGGCTTTAAGTACAAGAGAGGGTTGGGTTTTCACTTGTTAAAGTATATGAAAGGATAGGGAAAACTGTCGTTTCGGTTGGTAAAAAAACCCAAAAAGGGCTTACAGATGCATTACATGCCTGTGAAAAGAGCTGAGTAAACGGTCTGGTTTTGTGATTTATTCGTATTTTAAAGACAGTGCATTTACAACAGTTAAGAGGGATGCAAAGTTCTAAACTAGGCATGTGAAAGGGGTACCATTGCCAACAGAACATGAACAGAAGGTATACGAAGGGGCGATGACGAGCGTAAACTGCTTTGTGTGACGGCCTCCTGCGTCAAATAATCCCACAAAGTTAGAACAAAAAAATCTAAATATGTGCGACTAAACAAGCGTCTCCGACTTAGTCTCTCACCTTGCATGACACGAAACACGAAAGTGCCTCCAAAAATCTGACTCAGACTTCAGTTTCGTTGACTCCGGTGGCAATTTAATTTCGCCTTGTTGACTTGTTTTCTTTAGGAACAAGACATTCGTACAAACTCAGGAAGACAAGTTGGCTTTGAAAGTTTTTGATCAGCAAGCTGTCTAACCGAACAGATCAAATGACACTTTCTTTCTAAATCTTCATAGGATTGCATACACTGTATTTCTGATTTTATGCGTAATGAAACTTACACAAATTCATGAAGATTCTAATATTTGTGTAGCGGAAAGAAGAATTATAGGTGCTGCGCTTGTGACACAACACATTGCGTGATGATACATTACCTTGAAGATTGTGTTGAACATGTAAAGAGAATCCCACAGAGTACCATTTTCATGCACAGTAAGGAAAAATATGTTTCTGCCGATCAGGGCAGGGTGTCAGTGTGAAAGGAAACTTTGTAGATATGCACTGAAGATGAGGGAAGGGATTTGAATGCGACGACATGGTGGATAAGACCTAAACGAAGTGTGACTTGTGTGTGATTTGACTTTGGCTCTGAAATGTTTCTCACATTGATTGCCTTGTTTATGGTCTGTAATGTGTCAGTTATCTATTAATAATTCCATCGAAGCAATTGCCTTTGCTGGAAAATGTCGAATTAGATTTTCCAGCCAAGTTATATACACTGTAGCGGGTAGTAATTTGTATAAATTAGCAGCCAACCACACGATGCCTGTTTTTGTAAACCAAAATGAAGGCTAATGGAGGTAGATGACAGTGCATGAAGGTAAATGAAGGCTAATAAAGGTAGATAACGGTGTATGAAGGCTAATGGAGGTAGATGACAGTGCATGAAGGTAAATTAAGGCTAATGACGGGAAGGTCATGATGGTGTACAATGGTTGATGTAGGCTAATGGAGGTAGATGACGGTGGATGAAGGCAAATCATGAAGGCTAATGGAGGTAAGCTGAGGTAGATGATGGTGAATACAGGTTAATGAAGGCTAATGAAGGTAGATGACGGTGAATAAAGGTTAATGAAGGCTAATGGGTAGATGACAGTGCATGAAGGTTAATGAAGGCTAATGGAGTTAGATGATGATGCATGAAGGTTAATGAAGGCTAATGGGGGTAGATGACAGTGCATGAAGGTTAATGAAGGCTAATGAACGTAGATTACGGTGTATGAAAGTTAATGAAGGCTAATGGAGGTAGATGACGGTGCATGAAGGTTAATGAAGACTAATGGAGGTAGATGACGGAGCATGAACGTTAATGTGGGCTAATGGAGGCAGATGACAGTGCGTGAAGGTAAATAAAGGCTAATGAAGGTAGATGATGGTGCATGAAGGTAAATGATAACCTGAGATCAGGTGTTGTTATTTTTATTTTTTGCTTCTTTGCTTCTTTGGCTCGAGGGAGAAAAAATAACGCCTGATACATTTATTTAACAAGCCGTCAACCGCCCCCTAATTTACATAAACGTCTGCTTGACCTGTCATGTTATTAGCCAATCAGCGTTTACAAGACGGGAATCAAATTTTGGCGCCAATAATGTCTCTTTTGAAATCAAAAAATTTTTAAGTACGTCCATGTTCAGATGGCGCTTCCTAAGATAAAAGTTTTAATTGTGTTGTTTTTCTGATGAAATACTGCTTGCTGGAGCTGCCGTACCTTTATTTAACAGCTACAAATAATAAAGAATTTACTGGCAAAAGCTCGTTGACTTCGTTCTGTGCCGAAAGCAGTGAAAAAAAAATTAGGCTGAAGCACCATATTTCACGAACTAAAAGGTGTTGTGAAAGCGAAGATCGCTCAGAATAATTTGCAGGTTTCTGAAGGAGGAATTACAGTCAAGTTCCGTCAAGATTCCATTCATGAATTGATTATTTAAAAAGTGCACCCGTTTGTCGCCTCTGTAACTTGTAGCCGGTATCAAATTGCATTCAAATGATCGGTGAATCTTTTTAGTATACGATGAGATGGAAAATATTTCAATGGATGAAATTTCTATTTAGGCATTGTTCAAATTCAAGAAAACTGAGCCAGCAGAAATTTCAAAACGAACTCGTGTGTGAATTCACTGGTCATTTCGCAAGCAAAAATGCAGACTGAAATCAACAACAACTAACGGATGTCGGCATTTTGGCCAATCGGAACAGCGCAAATCATCCATATTGTTTCCTATCCAATCAGAAAAAAGTCCAGATTCTGGCTTTTGTACATGTGATCCGACAAAGAAATGTATCATGCTCTCTTCCCGTGAGAGACATAAAGGGATAATATGGAGAGGGCATGATCTCAGGCTAGGTAAATGAAGGCTTATGAGATAGATGACGGGTAATGAAGGTAAATGTGTCAGACAAAAAGATGAAATGAGGACAAAGGTAAATGGTTTTTAAACAGCATGAATCAGATGTGAACTGGTTAGCGGCTAACTTCAAAACAGCTCAGAGCCATTCATGTATTAAAAGCTAAGTCTTTGAAACTTCAATTTTTCTGGTTAAAAAAGGATTCTTTTCTATCCAGAATATCAACAAACTATCTTTTCTGGCTTGATTTGCCCCCAAAAACACACAAAACAAAAAGTTCTATTTTTGACAAAACCCTTTGGACAATTTCAATTTTTGTGTCTTTTTTACAATTTCACTTTTATGGTGTAAGAAGAACTCTGTTCTATCCAGAATATTAACACACCATCTTTATCTGGCTTCATTTGCCGAAAAAACACACAAGATAAAAATTTCAATTTTTTTGACAAAAACCATGGACTAACCCTTTAAAAAGATTTCGATTTTCCTGACTTTTTTACAACTTCACTTTTCTGGTCTAAAAAGCATTCTTTTTTATCCAGAATGCCAATGAACTATCTTTTCTGGCTTGATTTGCCAAAACACAAAACAAAAATTTCCATTTTTGACAAAAACCCTTCAAGGAAGATTTCACTTTTATGGTCTAAAATTTCAATTTCACTTTTATGGTCTAAAAAGCGTTCTGTTCTATCCAGAATATTAACAGAACATCTTTTCTGGCTCACACAAGATAAAAATTTCGATTTTTTGGACCTTTTTAAAACTTCACTTTTCTGTTTAAAAAGCATTCTTTTCTATCCAGAATATCAACAAACTACCTTCTCTGGCTTGATTTGTTTAAAACACGGTCACCGTTGCTTCAGAAATTTCCGAAACACTTTCTTTTAAACCTCGGGTTGTTCCAGATTTCTCCTAAAAACGGTCACAAAGTGTTGCTTGAGAAATTTTCGAAACAGTTTTTATATACAGAATGTTCTAGATTACCTTTTAAATATTAGGATCACAAAATTTGTCTAACAGACTCTAGCGCGTCCCCCAAATTAAAATCGTACATGTACAAATTAATTTCCGTCTGTTAGATAAATGAGTAATTTTTAAGTCCTAAATAGATACAGCACTCAAAATTAAGTCCAATATGAATTGATATATATCCTCAATGAACAGTACAAAGAATTCCTGATTACAGCAAAAAAAATTGAAATTTTTTTAAATACAAAAGCAAGCATCGGATGTAAGCGTGTTTTCAGTAACGTTCAACCATTCAAAAAAATTAATCACTACTCTCTGGCTTTTCATTAAAAGCAAAGTCCTCCTCTAAATTTCCACGAATTGCATGCAACTTCTCCTCATTCTTATCAAACACTAAGCAGTGCTTCCCTTTCTTTAAGCTTGCAAGGGCGGCAGAACCGGGAAATGACATAACAAATATTTTTTTGTCAGCTGCGGATGATACGAGTGTTATTTGTAATCAGAAATGGAAATTGGTTCTGGCGAACATTTTTGTGCGTAAACATCTTCTCCCTCGCGTGTTTGCGGGTTCTCGCCAGCGTCACAATCCTGAGGGACTGGTAGCAGTCTAATGCGAAAAGAAACCAATTTCGATTTCTGATTACAAATAACAATCGTATCATGACATTCTTCTTATTTAAATTTATTGACAGTAAAAACGGGTGACGAGATTGTTGGGTTTTTTGGCAGCAACTGTTACAAATGACTTATAATAGAAACTGATTGGTCGAGGATGCTGAAAGCTGAATTTAGAAAAAAAAAATGTTTACAGGAAAGAATATGCCGAATAGCTCACCAGATCCACTGCAGAAATCCATGACCCATCCTTCTTCTGCACCATAGAGCTCTGTTAAGTCTCCATATAACTCCCAGGGTTTGAATGATGTCGCTCCTCCTTTAGAGGATGTTTTCAAGCTGTATGAAAACAAATCTCCCCTCTTGACTCTCGTGGTTGTGTCCACAGTGGAGCTGAACGCGCAAAATGGTAGTAATGTTTTTGTCAAGACGCTTCCCTCTAAAACACAATTAAAATTAAAATGATTGAGTACTGATCCTCTGATACTGGAAAAAAAATCACACACAAGTTATGTCTTCGAATGCTTCAGAGAATCCCAGGCCTGGGCGCTTTTTTGGGTTCCCCTGGGTTCGAGTCAGTGCAAATAATTGTTTCTGTAACATTAGAAACCAAAATAACTGGGGGAAAATTGAATTGTTTGAGATCTGAATTGTCTGAGATCAAACACATGTTTTGTAACGCAATTGAATTTTCATAGCATTGTGAATTCTTCAAGGGTGACAATCAACTGTAAATTGCTGTTCTTTTCGTAGATTTACCTGTAGTTACTAAACCTCTACACAACTAAGATCAACTTATGAAAATATAATTACCCTTCCACGTTTTATTTGTATCACGGTAGTAGTGTAGTAGGCGACTTCACAGTTCATCCCGAATGCCTTCGCTATTTCAACTGCCAAAGAAAGCTGGCCAAATGGGTTGGGGTCATGCGGAAATACCACGATACGGAAATAGCCAGTGCTGTAGTACCTGGTAGTGATGGCCTTTATGTTTCCAAAGGCTTTTTCAATCGAACTTTTTTCCCAGTCCTATCAATTAATAAAATCAAATTTTATTAATTTCAACACATGATCTGCTAAATCATCCTTTCCCCCCCCGATTTTCAAGTGCCAGTATTGTGCATAATACAAAGAACGAACAATTCTGTGACTGTATTTTACTATGAGAGGAACTCCTTGCCGTTTTGAGTTAGCTACAGTGTAGCATGCATGCGGTACATCTGCTAACAAATCATGAATGTAGGAGGTGTCTATAGTTATTACAGATACGCAGTTGACCGGATGCTCTTAGCTTCCTGTTTTCACTTCAGGCTGACACTTGTTAAGACTTATTTTTTAAAAAGTTACTAACCTTTGGCAAGTTGAGAAATATAAGTGATGAGCCTGGAAAATTCTTAACAGTTAGGCTCAAAGTAGTAACGTCACTGCAGATTAGGAAGGCGGAGATGCCACCGTCACCAAATTTTACAGAGACCTGGTTCCCCTGCGGGCACTCATCTCCACCGATTTCTTTCTGCTGCTCCCATTTTAACGTGGACGATATGTACATGTTAAAACGGTGTGGAGAACTTTTGATTTGGCCACGATAGACTTCTAGTTGGTCATCTGTAACCCATGTGGAAAACCTGTCATTGAAAAAATATATCGGTTGTAAAAGGTAGATAACGACAGTCATGATATATAGTAATATAATATAATATAATAAATTATTAGTAACAAGAGCTGTTAGATGACTTTAAACAAAAGTTTTGTTTAGAAATTTTAGCCTAGATTCTCATACTTTTGCGAACACATAAATCCTTGATAAATTGCTGAAATACTTAAATAATCCAATAGGCAATAGGCCTTTTGTGTCTGTTGGTCTTCATTATCATATATATGGCTGGTTCAGCCATCGGGTAAGATGAAGCTAATGGGCCTTTCTTGCCCAATCGCGATTTCATATTTTTCCGATCCCGCAAGTGCAGGTTAATTTGTTTACGTCTTTCTTAAAAAGGAAAATGAATAGTTATTTTGTTGACCAGGCTGGTCAATAAAATGGCTGCTGGGGATATTAGCCTCATTCTTTTTATTTTGTTTTACGTTTCAAGTTGACTTCAACAGCCGTTTCTCCCTGCTACTCGCCGCTTGGGACGTTTCAAAACTAGGAGCGTTTCAAGGCGATAAGCGAAGAGAAACGGCAGTTTTGTAAGCTAACTTCGACTCAGTCTCATTAAAACGCGGAAAAGTACTTGGTCAATGTGCATGACTTACAGATTCTCTAAGGACAGCTTGGCAGGTTTGTCTCCATTCTTGTGATTTTTGGCCATGAGACATTTCGTTCAGTAGGGTACGACACAGTTGAACCTTCAATCCAAGAAAGACAATAAAATAAAAATAAACAATGTCGTTTGAATTATAATTTATTGAAAAAGGAAACGATTAAAGAACTGCAGAATATCCCAAAACTATCCTTTCTGAATAAATTTGCCCAAAAAAACCACAGAGGACTAACCCCTTTGGAGAATTTTGATGTTTTGGACATTTTCAAAACTTGACTTTCTGGTTAAAAAAGCATTCTTTTCTATCCAGAATATCAACAAACCATCTTTTTTGCTTGATTCGCCCAAAAATACACAAGATAAAAATTTTTGACAAAAACCATGGACTAATAGCCTGCAAGAGCATTCGGTTTTTTCTGCTCCAGTTTCAAGTTTCACCCGCCGTTGGAGGGAGAGAATCGACGACCGGAAATGCCTCTGCTGTTCGCAGGCTATGGACTAATCCCTTTGAAAAATTTCGATTTTTTAAACTTTTTTACAACTTCACTTTTCTGGTCAAAAAACAGTCATCCTAGTCATCCAGTAAATCTTGTCTTCCCAGCCATTCTTGTCTTCCCAGTCATCCAAGTCATCCCAGTCTTTCCAGTCATCTTAGTCTTCCCAGTCAACCCAATTACATCATACTCATCATAGTCACCCTAGTAATTACAGACATTTTAGTCATCCCAATCAACTTAGTCATCCCAGACACCCTAGTCATCCGAGTCATCTTACAGCTGTAGTCATGCCTGTCATATTGATTGGGTTTTCTTTATCATTACAGCTTTTTTTTATTACATCTAATCTGTTAGTCCTCTCTAGACTGGAGGCTTAGAGCTGCAACCAAACAAAAACTTATCAAAAAAAAGTGATACCGATTGAATGGTTTAGTGAGGCCTTCTGACTGGTGCCGCTACTCTGGCAAGAAAGTGGTGGATGCCAGGAAGTTGGTCAAACTTGATCATTTAGAGGAAGTAAAAACTGGTAACAAGGTTTCTGTAGGTGAACCTGCAGAAGGATCTTTACTGATAATTCCAAATGGTTATTGAAACCAGTGTGAACAGTTCAACAAATCTTTAGGGGTCAGCACAGGTATGTGTCGTTAAATGGTGGATAGCTTCCTTCCATGAGCCCTGCCATTGTGTCATTCCAGGGCACGAATAAAAATTACTTGTGTAATTCCGGTTCACCCTGGCTAAATTAAGTCTTGTTGTTGTTGCAAATCAAGGAGTCACAGCCACATGTAAAATATAAAGGGATTAAAAAAGAAAGGGGTAGTGCTGAATAGAACAAGAGAACTGAATTGGTTAGCTCAATTCGTTTGTATGTTACTTGTTTTCTGTCTGGGTCCTAGATTTAGCAAGAGTGTGTTGCCCAGGGTTCCATTACTGACCAAATCAACCCTTGAAGCCCGTTTTTTAAACCAGGTTGAAACTGCAGTTTAGATTATTACCAGCTTTCTACTACTATATATGCTGTGAGCCTCCTGGACACTATCAACCAAACAATAAACAATGCTTGGAGGTCAGGGTTGAGCAATTTAAAATTAGAGAGTGGTTTTGTCAAACAGTCTAAAATCAGTTTTGGTAACTGGGCCTTAGAAAAAGTTGACGAGAAAGTGATAAATATATTATAAGTTGGATGCTCCAGTCTTCTCAGATGAAGATGAAAAACTGTAGGCCTCAGGCAGCACACAACACTTTCACTGATCTGACTCATGTTAGGCAAAAACGAACAACCCAGCGGTTAGAATTTAGGACAAAAATGTTCAGAAAAATGGATGTCACATAGTCTAGTTTTAAGACTTAAAGCTCTTGAAAGCAGTGGCAACTACAAATCTCCCCCTTCCCCCCCAAAAAAAACAATGTTGAATTTCCACTGGATTATTCCTGATTCTGACTCAACAACTTTGACCAATGTCGGGAGAGGGGAGGAGCCTTTGCATTACCAAATCCGCAGGCTAGCCGTTCTGTGTGAAAGAAAGTGCAAAATTCTCAACACTTTGTTTCCAAGATTGTAGGTAGCTAACAGTCTATGGCAGTGACCAGGCCTAGAGGGATTGGGGTACCTCACTTGAGACCTTAAAGTCTTCCTTGATTTCATTTCCACTGGGCAGGTTCTGTGCCCAGAAAAACTAGGAAATAAAGGAAAGAGGAGGAACAAGGGAAAAGGAAAGAGGAGGGGGAGGCATTAGCTGAGGAAGAACATTGGTGATGAGATAAAAGAAGAAAGGAGCCAAGAGGTAGAAGGTAGAGGATAGATAGAAGTAGTACAGACATTTGAAAGTCAACATCAGTGAGGCGGCATTGGACAGTGCGCTAATAAAAGGATAAAGAGGTGGTATCGGTGATAACAAATCTAACAAAATAGGACAAAATCAGGACAAAAGGGGAAAATAACGAGGGCAAATAAGTGGTGAATGAAATGTGACAATATTAAAAAAAAATTGAGAAGGAAAACAAGGTAAAAGATAAAGAGGGGAGTACTGGTCAAAGCAATGTATTAATGGAAGCAACAAAGCCAGGAAAGAAGAGAAAAAAGGGGGCAGGGGATCCGGAGTGGTATAGAGAAAGCAAAGGTATACATGTATAGCTTCAAGCTGTTGAATGAAAATAGTGGCTACAGGATAACGAAAGGGGAACAATGTGAGTGGCAAACAAAGAGATAAAATTGAAACAGAGAATCAATGGGAAAATGAATAATGGAAACAAAAGGGAGCTGACAAGGGAGTGGCATAGGGAAAGGGGGGACACATAAATTCATTGGAATAATAATAATACAGTGGAAGCTCTCTTAATGAACCTCTCGTAAGTGGACAGTTCTACTTGCGGCTGCCTTTACAAAACACTGTGGGCGGACAATCCCCATGGGCAGCTGTGGACACTTTCAGGGTTTATGAGTTAGATTTTAGCTTTTTTGTATTTTAATAGAATTAGGTTTTAAATTAAATATTTTTAGCTTTGCTTTAAGCTCCTGTATAAGAGGACACAAAATCTTATTTGCCTCTGAATCTTGCTTTTCAATACACTCTATATTGACCATCTTTATAACACTGTTCATCACAATGAATTTATGTCAACCCTAGTTTTTGTTAATTCTTCACATACAGGCCCAGTTACACTTCAAAACACCACTTGAATTTTATGTATGTGACTGAATAATTACAACTTTGTCGGAAAAACAGTGTAGCAAAACACTAACAGCTTTTTACATTTTTAATGTTTATTTCTAGTTTGTTAAGCGCCCACTGGGTGCGCCAAAACCTGTGTCCGATTGTCCGGGACAGGTAGCAAGTTAGTTCGGACATGTAAAAATTCAACTTGACTTGTCTGTGGCACAACCACATTTTTAAGTAGAAACAATACAGAAACAGTTAAAAATTGACTTTAAATTATAATAGAATTAACATTTATCTTATAGTTACATAAGCAAACCTCATACTTGATAAAATAAGTTTCAATATTCCACGCTGCGACCATTTCATTTGTTTTTATGAGCTCCGTTTCAGGTTCAATTGATCAAAGACAATTTACAAGGAGAATGATGTGATTAAAACATTAAATGCCCGATTGTTTTAGAGTGTTGAGTTTCAACCAACACCTTTTGGACAAGATTGTTTGGGTTTTTGTACAACCAAATTTAATATAGTGCTTGTCCGAAGGACAAGTGGATAAGAAAAGTTTTCTCTTACTCTGCTCCCATACTGAGAACTATTCTTATAAGTGGCCAGTTCCACCTTAGAGATCGCCGAGCTACCCTGGGTGCTGCCCCACAGAGCTTCACTGTATTGATAGTAATGGCAGCAAACAAAAAGGGAACACAAGGGGAAAAAGAGAAGTGGCCATTAAGAGGATATTGGTGAATGGAAAAATGGAAACAAATACTAATTAAAGCAGAGACATGTTGTCTTCTCTACTCTGTTTTATAGGTTGTTTGTTAATGTGTCAGCAGACCTCAGGAATAAAACAGGTGATCCATATTAAAAGTTGAAAAAATGTGGAAGAGTGCATTGTAGAAATTGACTCTTAACGAAGGGCTATCATAAGGAAAATTAGATTCTGGTCACTGTTAGGGGTAAAAAAAAAAAAATAGATAAAGACAGTGCATAAATGGAGGAAAAATAAACCACTCTGTAGCTGTCCATAGCTAGGGAATTGGGGGTGTATACAAAACCTGACCTAGCCCAGGTTTTGTATACACCCGAGAATTGGTCACGTGATTTCGCACCAACACAAAACATTTTGATGACTAAGCACCCGTCCCTAACTAACCCCTCTTGATCCAAGCAATTCTACCTAATTTAAATTCTTAACCAAGCAACCGCTATGTAGTTTCGTCAGCTCTAAAATTTTCTTGTTACATCTTACCTGTAATTTGATCAAAATTCTCCACGCGGTGCAAGATCAGTGCTTTGACGTCATTCACTGGGGTTTGTACACGGACCCTTTTTGTTCAGAATAAAGTACTTTCTTTTTATCACAGGTAAATAATCCAGAAGTTAATGAACCATGGAACTGAAAGAATAAGCCGCGTTCTTGCAGAATCCTTGCGATTTGAAGTTGAACAAGGGCGCCATTATCGGGCAGAGGCGCCATCTTGGTTTCCCCTGGTTCCAAGCTCCACTCGGTCAAAATTTCGGGAGTTACCGGGGGAGGGGAAAGGGGAGGGGTGGGATGAATGAGGAGTTGCCACGAAAAAGCGAACCGTATCACAGAAGTGTAAAACCATCCTTTAAAGTCGATTTACCGGAGTTAAAGTATTCTAATTTTAATTTTTTATCCCATGTATCAGAAAAATAAAACTGTTATGTTGCTGAACACCCAAGCCTAGACGGTTTTAAGATCTATGGAGAGCCGGCATACATTTTAACGTATTTACCCGGCGTATTCAGGTAGGTTTCATGTTGAAAACTGAGCAAACCTTCATTAGCTTTTTTAATTAATCCATGGATAACACAGAATCGCAAACCCAACCTAAACAATTTTAAAAAGCGCAAGAACAAAATATAGCAAAATATAGCAAAATATAGCGGCACAGCAAAAAAGCAGACGATTTTTTAAAGGTTTACGTCTCCCATATAAAGCCTATGAATCGTTTTAAAACTTACTCGATCACAATTAATAGATGTATTTACAAACGCTAACATAGAGAAATTAGAATGCCTGTGGTTACAAATTCATTTATTGTCTTAATTTGTCAATCCCTACCCTGCGAGCAGAGTACTCTGATCGCAGGGTAGTCAGTCACAAGTGACATCAGCAAAATTCAGTTTAGATTGTAATAAAATATCGTTACTAGTTTTTAAGAACAAATAATCTATAGTATCTGTTCCTTCCCGTAAGAATAGATAACCTCGCGTTGACAAAGACAAATGGTCAAAACGGAAAAACGGTCTTGATTTTCAAAATCATGATTTTTTCTAACGCAGTAGAGTTAATGGAGTAAATATCTACTGGCCAGTAAACGTTCTAAACGTTAAGTAGGAAAAATAATCAAAATACACATCAATTGCGAAAACGTCCGAATACATATTGTAAAGATGCCACGCCCGAATGTATACATTAAGCGTTGTTTGAAAGTTAAAAAGTGGAAAAGAAAATGCCTGTTCAATTTTCATTTCTTTTTCGATTTTAAAAAACAAAAGATTTAAGTATAATCGATGAAAAAATCGATAAGCAACAAAATTAGCCTATGATTCTCAAGTTTCTCCTACCTTTTCATAGAGTAACAATATACCGAAAATCGTTTTTCTTTTACGTTTCCTTTGTCAGCTTGGACATACCGATTAGAAATAACAATGAAAGATACTGAGAGTACAGATTTAATTCACCAACTTGAAAGCAAGTCAATTTTTATATTTAGCTGCGAGAAAAAAGGAATTTCAGCAGCTACTTTATGTTAATTATTTCCTATCACTTTTGAAGCGGATTTTTATGGGGATGGGGAATGGGTTGCTGAAGAATTCGTAGCGCCTGGACAATGTAGCCGAAAATCTGATCCAAACTGATCAATCAACATCTGTTCTACTGAGTTGCTATATTAAAACGTTGACTTACGCTTCAACGTCGATTTAAAAATGCCTTTTCAAAACACTGGGAGTTAAATTAACTAGGCACGACGTCAGAGGGAGAGCGTGAAGAACTTAATGATCTGATGGCGTCATCGAGGTTCATAGTACAAGGCAGAAATAAGAACAATAGTTGTTTGCCTACAAAAACACACCTATAATTAAAGTTATCGACTGCCATGAATTCGGGCGAAAAGTAATGAAAACAGGCTAAAAATGGTTAAAAATAAGTAACGTAGTCAATGCCTGGAAAATATGGACGAATTCGAAGGGCCAAATTGAGGTCCAAAAAATATTAAACTGAACAAAGTGCGCAACTCAAACAAGACTTTGTCATCTATCAAAAATGACTCTCATTAGACAGCATTAAAGAACTATGTTATCGCTGGGATGCACCAAAATGGAACATCCCCCTAACTGGCTTAAATCAAACTGGGTAAGAGAAAACTAGAGCAAAACTAAAATCCCTGGGGGGTACGCCATTAAATAAGCTTGCCGCCTCATCGGGCATAGGGTTTTTGCGCCGTTTTGGTCTGAAAACGGGTTTACACTTTGCCAATTTTGGTCTAGAATCGGGTATAGTTTTTGAGAGAGCTCAGGAAGTGTATGAAGGTATTTATTGTTTCAATTTCAAATGAGTAAAAAAGAAAGAGAAATATGCGAGTTCCACGTGGATTTGAAGAATTTTCTTTTTACACTCTAATCTAAGTAATGATAACATAGTTTCTGCATAAAGCCAGGCCGCGGTTGTTCAGACGTTGGATAGCGCTATCTACCGGATAAATCACTATCCAGAGGATAAGTATTACGGAAACCAATTACGTTATCCACTGGATAGATTTTTATCCGATTGATATAGTGCCATCCAACTTTTGAACAACCGAGGCCAGGTCTGAAAATGGCCGTATATGGATTTTAGAGGTCTGGTCTGAAAACGGGAGTGGAAAACAACATTTTTTGGTCTGAAATAGGGTCAAAAAAAGGGGAAATAGGGGCTTCGTTTCTTGGATCAATTTATATTAGGTTTCTGGGAAACTGCCCACCTACCCCTCCAGGCTATAAAAGGATACTTTTTTTTTTCTTGTAGATACTTCTCAAAAAGTAGATAACATCCATCGAGTAATATTTTTTGCGTATTCTTACATTTCCTACCTTTTCTTACTATTTCTTTCTTTGTCTAAGTCAGACACATAAACTATTTCGCCATTGGATAGCCGTGAACGCCATTTTTTAAGGTCACTATTACACTCAAGAAGCCTAGTCTTCCAGGCAAATTTACCATTGATCAACATTGCTTCGAAGCAAATATACCATCGAATCATTGGTGTGTTACTCGCATCTTTGAACTGTGGTAAGCGCCAGTTAGTTATCGGGTATTGTAGCCAATCAGAAACGGCGAAATATTCCGAATGAATATATAACAACGCGATTTAAAAAGAGATCATGCGCTACAGGTTAACAGTTATACAAACGAACCGGTTCAGCGGTCTTCCGTCTGTTTCGTAATTGCGATACCAACCGCAGTACCAGAGTCTAAAAAATGGCGGTAAAATTACTACAAGCAACACCTATAATCAACGACGCCTTAGTACCGTCCAAGCAATTTATTTCTGTATTTTCTCATACATCTTTTTAACGGGCTAGAAGAGTTAACTTTGGCTTTTTTAGGCAGTCAAGACATAAAACAAAAAAAGAAAAAAAAAGGAACAAAAGTAGTGAAAAGTACAACTTTTACTCTAGCGTGTGTGTGCTAGGCTCTCGGATAACAGGACGTCGCGAAGATAAAACAAGCGAGGCGAAAATAAGACGCGTGCGATCTGGGAAAGGGGGCGGTTGCGGGAAAAAAGATAGGAGAAAGAGATCCACAGCCCTTTCTCTTCCCAGCCTTCGCGTGTTTGTCGCATCACTTTTCATAACTGCACAACTACACTATAACTTAGAACCTGGAACAGGCTATGTTTACACGGGAAGAAATTTAAAACAATCACATCTTAGGCCAGAGCAGCAACAGACCAATTTGGATATGTTAACATTCATGCTTAATTCTGAGGCCTGGGAAAATCAGGACAAAAGAAATAATCTTGAGTCTCAAGGATGAACAACACATTTCTTTTGTTTAATCCCTTCAAGCCCCGGAGCCAGTAAATTTTGTACACCGAAATAGTTTTATTTTCAGTATCAATTATATTGCGTTCGTGGTTGTACTAAAAGAAATCAAAACTCTACAACACCCTCCTCGGCCCTCGATTTAGCGGCCAGTGGTCTCTTCCCCGAGGGTGGCCCGAAGAGGTTCGACTACACGCTTCTTTAATTCTATTTGGTACAAACTACACACGTCAGTTCTTTCTCTTGAACATACGAAACACACTGTATACCGTGACCGCAACCAACTTGCACTAGGTATAACAAAGCTCCATTTGTGTTACTATGGCCACCCGGGACGGCCTCAGCATTCACATCAATGCACACAAATTCGCTGGTATGCTTGTGGCCATAGTGAGATGTCATCAAGTACCCGTGGTACTCTTTGGTCCATCCCGAGGGACACTTGTTGGTTGCAGGGATCATCATTTGGGAACCACGTGACTTGACGTAACACACGGCGCAAGGAGCATCCTGGTTATTAAGATTTTTGCTAAAGCCTGGGAAATTGCCCGTCTCATACTGTGTGCCGTATATCGCTCCGGTTCCCTGCCAGCCTTGGAGGTATTTGTCATAGACAGGGTTGTCGGGAAGACATATAAAATTAGAGCCTCCACCGGGGTGATTATAAAAACCGCTGCCCATCACACCTGTCAAAACACGAGCAAAATGGCATTTTAAAGTGTGTCTGCCGTAAAAGGTATTACATTTGACTTCCCCGTTAAATTATGGTAATCCCCAGAATAAAGCAGTTAATTTGAACAAGTTGAATTACCAGGATCCCAGGGGCGGGGTGGGGTGTGGGGGGGAGAGGTTTGGTTAATCCCAATTTCAAGTGATGGGGATAAATTTTTCGATTTTGCGGGATTTTTTTGGGTAGGAAAATATGGCAAGTATTTTTTTGGGTGGCTAGATTTAATTAGGGATTTTTTCGGGTATTCAAAACAATCTAATGTTCGATGTAAAGACAAACATTCAATTTCTAATTTTTTTTATTGCCAACAAGGCAACCGAGCTAAGAAGCGATGTTGACTCGGCGCCAGAATTATAACGCCGCGCAATGTAGGCAAAAACTCTCAAATTCTGCGTAACCCTCTAAAATTTGCATTTTTGACCATATTTGGGTGTAAGACCCCATATTTGGGTAGTGACGTCATGGTCTTGTATTTACAACTCGTGATCCGAAATTGACCACTCCAGAAAATACAATAAAATACCATGGAATTTTCCATGAAACAAAAGTACTGACTTGCTCATATTTACCAACAAAACCTCAAGCCGTGTTGTTATTGTTTAATAATTAAACAGTGAAAGCCTACAATGTGCCAAAGTTGTTGTTTTGAAGTTGGCTGCCATCCTTTTCTATAGCGGAATCCATTTTAAAAAATATCGCGAAGATTTGAATAGGCACATTTCACAAGAGATAAACGAATTCGCCTCGTTGGCACTTGCCGGAAGGTACCCTTAGTTTTATTTTTATATCATTTGATGCTTTCAAGGCTCGAAAAATCGGCATGGGACTTTTTGGGGGTTAGTTGTTAGTCCAGAGATTTTTATTGGTTTAGTTAGAAGCCCTAGGGATTTTTTACCCCAATTCGATCATCCCCGTCAATTGAAATCCAGAGTACCGCCCTGGAACCAGGATAAGCCATTTTAAAAAAATAGATTTTCTTGGGGCAAATATCATGCAAACAAAAACAACTAGGAACAAATCAGGGGCAAAGATGGCAAACACTGTATTTGTCCCGAATTTGCAAGGAACGAAATCTTGGTAGGTCTGTTTCACGAATACAGGGAAGGCAGAAGCCCAATAACCGTAGCGAGCAACGTCCATGAATCGTGTCACGGCGTTTTTACCAACCCGTTTATTTTAAGAACGACTTTGGTGCTGATTGAGCAAATCTAATCAATCCCACAAACCATTAAGCAAAACCTGCAGACTTAAAAATTGTATTTTTGACCTTTCTAGTACGTTTAGTGTTCTTTATACTTTGATTAAGCTCAAGAACGGAGCTTCTTTTCACGGGAATAATTGCTATAAAATGTATCTCAAAATAAACCAGTCCGTAAAAACGCCCTTTCACAGGCCCAGTATGGGAGTTGCTCATTCCGGATTATGGGCGAGGGTCTTACGCAAGGTGCACGTGAACGCTCCTTATATTGGGCTCCCTGTCTCTGAGTAGATAGTATTGGTTTAGCTGCATAAACTTCCAAGTCTTTTTGTTTTCTATCGTTTTATAAATATGTATACTTGTAATCCTCATACCAGTGTACACAACTGAGGCATCTCCTGAGCAGTTAGTTCGTCCCCATCGGTTATACGTCACACCTGACAGCGCCTGTCCTTCAGCTCCTCTCTCTCCTTTAGGCCCAGAAGGACCCGCAGGCCCAGGAATCCCTGTTGGACCAACGTTCCCTAAAAAGCGGGGGAAAAAATACATTACACTGTGTTTCTAGGAAAATAGCGTCTAAATAATCCGGGACGAACATTATTACGGACATTAAAAAGTATCTTGGACAAGTTATTTTATTTTATCATTAACTTCGCCAAAAAAAAAACAAACAAACAAACAGAAAGAAGGTTGGCATGGACACCGCAACAGCTGTGGCCAATTACAGCGGGCACGGATACGTAAAAAAAAAAAAACAAACAAAAAAACAGCGATACAAAAAAACTACAGCTACATACAACAAGTTGCTGGACGAAACAAGGGACGAGCACTATTACATTTTAAACAGATAGACTTAAACGAACGTGGGTCTTCACAATCATAGGAAAATAGCTAACGCAGACTTATAATAATTAAAAATAACCGATTTAAAGGAAGCTAAGGTCGATGAGCTCAAATATAGTTCATCCGCTAAACAATTCCAAATTCTACTAGTTGTGGTTTAATGTTAAGTTGAGACTAAACTTGTTACTATCAGTTCAATTGAGAGCATTATTGATGGTTATCGATGTAGAAGCTAAAAATGACTACATATGCGCTTGATTACGAAAGCACTATGTTTTGCACATAGTTTATCCTTTTCCAAGCGTTTCGAGAGCGAATTTGCATTTGCGAGTAGGACCGGTTTAATCTATTCTCTTTTCCTTAAATAACTATTATTGTGAGGTTTCGTTTTTGTTAACAGGGCGTTTCTGCTAGATCTCACTTTTTTGAATCAGATATCCGATGATAACAGTTCATAGCATTATATTAGCGACGTTTCGCGAGAAAATAAGTCAGGTGGTTTATTATTCGGATTCAGATTATAAATTATTTCTAGCATACGCCACTTGTATATATCCCATAATGTACCTTGTTTGCCCCCCAAATTTTGCATAAGCGTTGTTTTCAATTTCTTTTGGGACGGCTGTAAAACTGAAATGAAAAACAAAGGTTATGCAAAATTTTGGGCTGCAAATAAGGTGCATTATGGGAGATGTCAAGTGGTGTATAGCTTATCTATCATTACATGTTCAGAAATACGCTGGAGAATGCTAGGAGACCTAAATCAATAAACAAGCAACTTAGCAAACGTTCCCCTCGCAAGCTAGATGCAAGATGTCCTCAATTGTTTTGCTCGTGCCTAAACTTTTGGCCCTTGCTTGCTCGCGCGGGAACGTGTTTTCTACAAAACAAAAAAAAATGCCATTTGCCTTAGTGGGTAGTGCCCAGAACGTTAGTGGGGACCCATTCCTACAATAATCTCACGTTTGTCTGGGTTAGTGACGTTAATTGCTTCGGTTAAAGATCTCGGTTAAAGTACTCCTAACCTATTTTGCTTTGAGCTTCGACCGGTAATGACCAATCGTTATCATATAACAACCCCTACTATGGTAGTATGACGGTATTAGCAGAGGCTGCGGAATATATTTTTTAAGGGGGGTGGTAAGGAGCGGGGGGGTTGACTAGTGACACGAAGTAGTGAGCCTGAGGAGACTTTAAACGTAAAAGTCTTAAGCCCCCATGATGTGAGCCCCCCGGCTCCACCGTCCCTGATGAGTTAGCAACTACTCGCGGAGAGAATTCTATAAAGCGCACTACCCCTTTAGAATTATCTGGTATCTAGCTACCTTTAGGTCCCGTAAGTCCTCGTGGTCCCGCGGGTCCTTGTCTCCCGTCTCTACCGTCTCGTCCTAAGAGGTAAGAAACCTTCCTGAGAATGTAAAGTTCACGGATCTCTCATTCTTTGTGTAAAGCAGGCCTAAAAATAAGTTAACTATCACTCTTAGAAGTTAAAAGATGAAGGGAGAATGTTCTTATAAGGGACGTTAGGAATGCTGTCAAACCTCTCATAAGCGAGTGAAGCAGTATTGTGGGAACCTCCTGCTGTTTCCCAGTCTTTGTTGTTGGTTGGAGGAGTTTCTCTTTTTGACTGAGTAACCTATGCACTTGATTGACTTGCTGTGACAGTCCTTTAAATGGGGTCCTGTCCCAGCTGAGTGCCTTAACTAGCAATAGCTACATGTTATTGCGTTCGACTGTTAACAATGATACTGATAATGAAAATATAAATTTAAAAAAAGGCGGGGTGAGATAACGTTGCGGTCTTCCACTGAGTATTAATTACCAGCAGGTCCGGATGGTCCTGGCATACCATCCCGTCCGTCTCGACCTAAAAGGTAAAAAAAAAAAAACATGATTGCATGATTTAATGCGCATTTCTGACATTAAATTTTCGAGACAAAAACAAAATAATAGTGGAAAAAGTGAAAATCTAAAAGGGACCGCCATATTGGATGATTTCAAATGCCCCCATATGTATCCCATCATAGCAGGCTGTCTATCAAAGTCAGAAAGTATCACCACGTAAAGAAAACGCTAGCGGTTCCAACCGCCCCTCCCCCCTTGAACCCCGATGGGGGGACGAGTTTGCATGTACGTAAGAGGGTTTAAAAAACGAAATTCGAGGGTAACGCGCGAGATGTTTCAGACTGTATGAAACACGAGCTGTGAGTGTTTTGAAGGCTTCAAAAACGTATCCCAGGAGTATCGGCTCAATGGCTATTTACCTCGAAAAGAGGACCGCAGGCTCAAGTCCTTAGAGAGTTCAACAATTCTGAAATACGAATAAAAGATAAAAATTACAAACAAGGATCTTAAAGGTCTGGCGGCATTTACGGTTAAAGATTTATATTTTGCTGGCTTATTTTCTACGGCTTAGGGCTATTTTCTCTCCTTTTCGTATATGTTACGGCCAGCGCTCGTTCTAAAGACCCCCTCGATATGGATCCACATCCCCTGAAATATTACAGCGTCCATCAGCCACGAGATAAGACAAGCAACGTCCTAACGAGCGATCTGATCATCTTGACACTCTCTCCTTGACACTTAAACCGAGGTTAGGAAAATTTTCGTGGTTAGCGCATTTTTCCATTTTATTCGTAGCCTGCATGGTCAGGGTTCGAAAGGAAAGGGGAACAGAATTTGGGCGCGAAACCGCTCGCGAGGGAGAAGAGAGGAAGGGAACTTTTCCAAGGGCACCATTATTTTCTCCATCCCGCCAACTGGTTATGTATGCAAAACTAAGGCAACCCTGAACGTCTAGCTGTTCCCTACTCTTCCCTTCGCGCGCCCGAAATCCCCTTCCCCTCCCCTTCCTCTTTGCTTTTAAACGCCTGCCACGTAGGCTATTTTCTTCACCTAACGACTTGTTTGGCTGACTTATGGCTAAGTAAGTACAAAAATCGCGGAAGAATAGTTTTGGACTTGAACACACTCTTGTGATTTAGACAAAAGTGTCGGTGGTGTTTAGAAATGCTCAAAGAGGCTGTTTTTATTGGTCATTTCGAAGCTCAAGGGAAACTTGGTGACGTTTTTGCCCCTCAAAACAACCACATGGTGCCATTCGAGACAACGACGACCAAGACAAACTCTTACAAACTAAAAACAGACAGCAAGTGCTGAATTTTGTGGCCATCCTGATTGGTTATTGCTACAGATCATAGGCATATTTCGCGAGCGAACGTTTAGTGAGTGGTGTTGTAGAGACACATTGGAGTGAACGTTACTGACAGAGGTACAGTACGTGAATACTGACGTCGCTTGGTATTAGAGAGATTTATAATCCCGTTCACAGCAAACGCCAATTTGTACCACGTGACCGTGTTTTCCCTTTACTTGAAGTTAAAATTAACGAGTAATTGGCCAAAAAGATAGTTTCACGTCAGGTTTATCCACAGAATTATTTTGGCAGTTACGATCTTTTCATTGTCTAATTTTAGAAATTGTCAACGTGGATGAGACGTTTGCCGTGCGCGCGCATGCGTTCTTTTAGGGTGCAGCCGGATCAGGATCAGTCATCCGAGATCAATCGGATCTATTGCACCAACGAAAGCGATGAATCCTTGTGCAGAGTGGATTTATGGATCCCTTTGATGCATGATAATCCGGGTGTTCTCGGGCCACTGATCCTGATCCGGATAATCCCAAAGGAAAACACCTTTTTTCACCCGGCAGTAGCGCGCGCGTGAGAGGACTGGTGCTTTTGCAAAGTCGGTAGAGACAGGAAAAAAGTGCTTTAATCCCTTAGTGGCGATTTAGCTCAGTAGACTTCAAGTCTTATTGTCACTCCAGTGGAGCCATTCGACTGATTTCTTTGAACCAAAATTGCCCTATTTAGACTCTGGGACTCATCGCAGCCCGTTGGTCGTTGATCCATATTAGCCATACAAATCAGACTACCTTGACTCTAATGCCGAGAATAAATAATTCCCTGATGAGATACTGCTGAATTTCACTCACGAAAAAGGCCTCCCATTTGGGACTCAAGGGGCTAAAACAAATCGAAATTGAATTAACAGCTTGCAATAGTACCTGCTCTCCACTGCAATGACCCTCTTACCAAGGTCTGACAAATTGACCTGCGGGTTAGTCGTCCTCTTCTGTCGAGCATGATTTTTTGTTTGCTCCCACTTTCCATGCTTCAGTGTTTGGGAAATTGCTTCTATCTTGTTTTCGGCAATAGTGAGTCGTCCCTCCCATTGACTGCGCGGTTTACGTTCTTTATCCTGAACCACTCTAAGTTCACTTTCAATCGTCGCAAGTCGACTTTCCTTTCCCCTGAGCTGGGTCTCAACGTCTTCAAGTTTCCTATGCATTGAGACGAGGAAGATAAACTGAAAAGCGATGCACGTTAAGAGGCAGGTAACCACAGCAAAGGATAACAAAGTGCGAATGCGCACCCACTTGAAGCACCTTCTGGAGGTAGGAATCTTACTCGATTCCTGTTCCATTATATGAAAGATATTAAGCACTTTAGAGAGGTCTGAAATGCTTTACGCTGCCAAGTCGCAAAAACTATACGAGAATCTGGTAAGGACTTTAAATATAGCTTGTTTAGGAGGCGTGGCAATGTTTAAGCACGTTTCAGTTACATGGATAAATTAGCAAATTGCAAAGGCACGTACTTGCCACTCTTGTTGCATACTTCAGTTTTTACACCCATAGTTTAAATTACTGATCTGCCAAACATAGGCTAGTAAAACCAATCTCTTTGACCCGTCGTTTCTTGTGTTAACATCCGGTGCTTGTGATTAATAGGCCTACGTAGCTGACACAACACGGTAAAAGGCAGTGGTGGATCCAGGGGAGGGGCCGGGGGGTCCGCCGCCCTAACTTTTAGACCAAACTGAGGCCCGAAGGGACGAAAAAAATTTTTTGGAGACCGGGCCCCCCACTTATCTAAGGGTCTGCCCAGCCCCCTTATCGCAGGGTCTGGATCGGTACAGGGGCTATGTCACCGGGAATTTGCAGATCAAGGTTAATTCCGTTTAGTGCACTTAACCGCACACAAAATGCTCCGTTTGAGATACAGTGGAACCCCGCCTTACAGCTACCTCGGTAATACGGTCACCTCGTTATTACGGCCACTTTTTATTGGTCGCCCGGCAAAAACAACCATACATTTTCTTGTAAAGAAACCCTCGTTAATACGGTCAGCTCGTTATCACGGCCAAATTTTTCGGTCCATTGGTGACCACATTAACGGGGGTTCCACTGTATGAAGAGGACCATAGCTCGATTTTTTGGTGACTTGCAGCAACCTGATTTGTTGCAAGACAGGTTTGCAGTACGTGGGTGGTAAAACGACCAACATTGCTTTCAACTCACCCGTTTTGCAGCATCATGTTGCAAAACAAATTGTATGTATTTGTTACCCGTTTTATGGTACCTTGAGCCATCACCTCCGCAGAGGCCTCTTTGTGTTGTAGGGAGGCTGGGGAGACAGAAAAAGACGGCGCGCGGGGGACGATGGAAAAAAAAAAGCCTTTGCCCTTTTCCCATCGTCGCCCCGCGCGCTTTCTATTTTTCCATTATTGCTATTTTTATTGAGATATAGCGTACCTTGGGTGAACAATGCATTTACCTTAATTACATGTCTGAACAGAGGGGCATTCTGTCTGCGCATGTGCTGTACAGACAGGCTTTTATAAGTAGCCGCTGACACGCGCCCGCACGTGGCGAGCGCGCGTCCGCTTCCCCCTCTTTTAAGCAAAACCATTTACCTTAATTACATATCTGTTATTTCAGGTTCCTCCTTGCCGTCATACAGAGTGATTCTTCTGAATTCCCAATTTTCTCACTAAGAAGAGTGGGCAAACAAAGACATGCTCTAGTAAACATAATCGTCAAATGATTATTAAGTTTCATTTCAACCTACGGTTTACATTTCAAACAAGACAAATTGTTGGACTTAACAATAGAAGAAACACGCGCTCTGAGGCAATGTTCACACTATAGAGTGTTTTCACTCACGTGGCCAGCATCTATGCAAATTTATTGAAACAAAAGAAAGCGTTTGCATAAGAAAAGAGTTCAACTCCCAGAGGATTGGTTTGGGACACCAACATGGCCGCCGTTTCATTGTTTTGGAACACCAATATGGTCGCCGTGACGTCATGTGAAAACACTCTATACCGGATAGCTCTTGCGCAGGCGCGAGACCATATTGATTTCGGCGCTATAATCTCTATAACGGAGCGAAGCTGCGCCGCGTCGATGTACAAAGTGGAGCGTCACTTATCGGATAGGTTCTGTGCCAGACTTTGGCGTAGTGTGAACAGGTATTCGGACAGTAGGAGTGAGGACTGGCGATCACTGAGACGGAACTAAATGTTCAAGAGTGAAGACTGGAATTAAGACGGAATCCATCAGGAAATTGAGTAATTTTAATTTTCAGTGGACAAAAATTTTGTACCAGAATAATTTTTAAAAATCTCATTCTTTTTTACATTTTCCAAGGACTATAGATATAATTAGTTATCTGTAATAACACCGAGGACTATTTATCATGGGGACCCGAGAAAATAAATGTCAAATTTTACAAAAATTGTAAAACACAACTAAAATTAGGAAAATTTAATGCGTAAGATGTCTTTTTTCTGAAATTTGACATTTATTTTCTGGGCTCCCATAAGAAATTTTCTTTGGTGTTATTGCAAATAACTAATTACACCTTTAGCCGTTGAAAAATGTAAAAAAGGTTGCAACATACTTTAAATTATTGTGGTACAAGGTTTTTGTCCACTGAAAATTAAAATTAAAATTACTCAATTTCCTGGTGGATTCCGTCTTAAGTGCACTAAAACCTGTTAGCCTGCAAGCAAGCTCTCCAATTATGGCGAGCAGAGCGAGGCGCGAGTCTCTTGGGCGCGAGAGAATACGTCCGGCTCCAGCGTGACTCTTCGCGACTACCCTAAATGGTATGCTTACTCGCGGGCTACAAAACCTCTCGGCCAAGTCCGCTCAGGCGCGAAGTTCGATGTGTGTGAACGACCTGCTCTAGTCCCGGGTGTTAAAACACTGCTAATTTCCCCGCTTCTCGGGCCAAGCAATTTTTCAATAGCCCCGTATAGCGGGGAATTAGTAAAATTTAGTTCCAGGCTCGATTTCAAACGCTCTCTCCTATCTGGTATTCTACATTCAGCGTATTTCTTAAAATTCAAACCATCGGACCCGTCAATGAAAATTCTCGATTGCGTTCCTTTAATTCATGAAAAATCAGTGTTACCCTTGGTGTCAGGGGATTTTTTTTCTTACCTAATTCCTACGAACGGACCTTTGGGACCAGTGTAGAAAAATGCGGTTAGATCGCTTACTAAAAAACTACATCTGTATGGTATACTTGTAAGGGCAAGGGATCTTAAGCGAAACCCGAGCTATAAATCACTGTATAAATATTGCTGAATCAGCCCGAAGTCTAATAGTTCTGATTTTCAGTTTTGACCTGGAAATGGCGATTTATTGCAGATAGTATACACTGAATAACAATTATTTCCCTCTATTGTTTATGTTTAAATGAACGAGCCCGAATTCAAAGAAAGATATTTGTGGATCAAATCAGTTTAATAGCCTTTCCCGTCTCCTTTGTGAACTGCAAAACAGTAATTCTCCAAACAACGAACATTGCCAAAATCTATTTTTCCTTTACTTCGTGCACAGAGGAACTCATAAGTCATCTGAAAACTTTGATCTCGCTTGTATGGTTTTCCCGCCGGATTGCAAAAATGTGACATAATAAGTAAATAATTAAGGTCACGAGTCGACCGGAAGGGTCCCGACAGGAAGCGGAAGTCTCTCTTCATTTTGCCAAACTACCGCTGACTCGTTAATTGAACACTAGCAATTCACCCTCCCTCTACGCCCGTGGAAAATTTGTCTCCGCTCTAATTTGTCTCTGCTTGACCACCATTGTGAGGAAACAGTAAAAAAGCGGAGCCAAAGTTCTCGGGAGGCGGGGGGGAAGGGGTGACGTTTGTAGGGTCATCATCCCACCAACCCCACCATGAAAACTGGCTGGGAACGCAAACTACGCATGTGGTTGCAAACCGACATTATTTCAGGGGCACCCAACCAGAATATAGTTCAAAACCACTTAAACATGGCATTGTTAAACGTATTTTAGTATTTAAATGGTAGATATAGGCATAGTTTTATCCCCTAAAAATTTTTCGTCTGTTCGGATTTCCTAGCTGAAAGTCTAGTGATCTGAAAATTATAGGGATCAAAACTTACCTTTTCGAAAACTTCAGCCGGCAAAAAGGCTCCCGAAAATTCTAGGTGACCTTTTTAGAGTAAAAATCCGTTAAAACTGCCAATGTACCCTATTTTAGATGTTCAAAAATCCTAGGAGAGGCAGGCAGGCAACAAATTTTACAAAAAATGTTACGAAAATTCTAGATCTCAAATCGTCTTACGAACAGATATTTTCCGAAAATTGACTTTGGGTGCCTCTGTTATTTGTCTTTGAATGGATACCTTTTTTGCAAGATACCTAGAAGCAAGCGAGTTCCTCTTTTTTAATGGCCCTAAAACCGATTCAAAGCAAAAGTTCATCATATGGATATAAAAAACGTTACTATGACGGGTGCTAGTCGCCTTTTTAAGACAAAGAGCAGACCATGCAACAGCAAAATTCCGGAGTAGATTTTTCAAGGCTAAAAAAAAACGAAAACCGATATGCTTCAATTTATTACGAGTACTTTAAGAGTCGTCGGGGTTATCTGGGAAACTTTAAACTTTTGTTTTTTACGTTTTTTAAATAAACTAAAGAGTCTGATAGCAGATAGTCGATTGACGAGCAAAAGAGTATAATAGCACCTAGTCGATTGACAAACAAAACTTTCCAAAGATTCATCATTCATGATCATTTTCAAAAAACACTTTGTGTCTTCTTGCACGCAAATTACCCTCACGTGCAAATATCATATTTACACTCAACCGCGGCATTTTTACAGGACAGACTGGGAGACCTCCTTTGACCTGTGATTTGCATCTGACAGGCAGAGAAAAAAAATTCGAAAATAACGAAAAAACAATACAAAAACAACAGAATTAATTTTGAAATTAACTGCGGGCAGAAACTAGACACACAATTCGTACCAAAATTCGAACGATTAAAACGAACTGTTGTTGGGAGCTCAGGTCATTTAGCAGGCAAGAGGTATGCAGTCTGGATAAGAATCGAACGAATTATGGCAGTTAGGATGCCCACAGGCGCACATGTTTCATTTACTTCTTCGGACAAATCATGCATCCCATAGATCAATTATTACCGTATGTCGATAAACTAATCCAGAATTTTTAACGTAAAGCATTAATGAATACCCAAGTTTCGGAGCTTTTCATAGTTTAGCGTTTGCTTTAGCGTGCGTACGTGAGCTTATGTGTTTAAACAAGCGGTCAGTATAAAACACGGACTGCGGACTGCGGACTACGGACTGCGGACTGGGTA